TGTCGAGTCCGCACCTACCAACATTGTAGAAGATCCATCATTTCTGGTGCAGAGCGAGGACGCGCTGGAGTGTGTTTCTCAGCTGGCATTCCTCTAGAGGAGCTGAGTGGTCAACAAAGGTTTTGGTCTTGGAGCTCTTCTATAAAAGCCATTTACCTCATCTCTCTTTTTGTTTGTTGAATCGTGACCTCTGACCTTAGCTTGCAGGGCTTTAGATGTTTCTCTTGGTTCTTGTGTTCTTGAATTTCTTTAGAACCAGGTGTGAAGTGTTAGCCTGGCAAGCCAGACTAAATAAATGTATTATTTAGTCTGGCCACGCTCCATTGACGGCTCTCGGTTGTGGGGCGGGTTCTACCGTTGTCTTTCAAATGATCTCCGCATTCCACTGGACAAGGAATGTGACATACTCTTGTTTCACTCTGCTGCATCATCCCACCCACCAGGCATATAGAGTGCCCTGATTGGCCCACAAAGCGGATAAAGCTCTGTGATTTGTTCACTAAGCAGATAGAGCACTATGATTGGCCCACCATTATGGACCAATCACAGCTCTTTATGTGTTTGAAACCCCTCTAGAGAGCTGTGATTGGCTAGCCAGAGTCCTGGTAGGAGCTGCTGAGGTTCCAATGGAGCATGCCTAGACCATTCTTTGCAAAGCACGAATTTGGTCTAGTTCACTAGGCTAGTGAAGTGTTGCTTTTTGAGATCTTTTAGCCTTCTGATGTCAGACAAGCACTATTGAAGTGATTCTTGATCCTACAGGTCTGGAAGTACTCGAGTCAGGGTGCGGCTGGTGGGACTGAACTCAGCTGTTTACCGGGTGAAGGGTCGGTTTCTTTTTTCACAAAGAGCCTGATTAGCTTTTCTTCCCTTCATTACTAACTTTTGTATTTACTCAGGGTTTGTTTTTCTGATATTAAGGAAATCTTCAAGGGGGTTAATTCTTTATCCCAGTGCTTTATCATGTCAAATTGAAACATTTCATTCAGATTTTCTTGAGGCATCATGATTTATATCACAAAAATCACAAAGTTGTCATGAAAACATGTTAATATTACCCATTAACTGGTTTTGAGCTGAAAACAAACTACAAGTGACAGTGAGAGTCTGCAAAATGTCAAAATGCTCATCAAATATGGTTAGCTTAATCTCAGCAAATTCATACAGCCTCTAGTTAACAGCGGGTCATTTGAGAATCTCAGCAGGCATCCGGATGCTGAAGAGATGCGTTAAGTAGCTGCTGCTGCAGTGCTGCAACACCACCATGTGGATGTTTATCACATTAGAACTTAATGGAGTCACTCTGCCTCACGACAACTGAACCTGAATTATATCAGCAAAACATGATAAGCAAAAGTAATTAAGGTGTCTCAGCTCTCTGTGTCCCGCCGTGGATCTGTAGTGGAGAGCAGGCTTTGGGAGGGGGGGGGGTCAGAGGTTCATCTGAGGTAGGAAGAGGTAGCAGTAGAACAAGATCCACAGGACCAGAAGCATTTCCAGCTCTAGTTGGGTTGTGTCACCAGAGGTCCCCAGAGACCAAACACTGGGTCTTGTGTCGATGCTGGAGACAGGTAAACAAAAAGTTATTCCCCTTATATACTTATTTAATAAATAAAACATTACAAAATGTGACTGTTTTTTAATAATAATTCAGTCATAATCCACATTAAAAAAAATACAAACTAAAATTCCAGCCAAATTAAACCTTAAGCAGAAAACACAATCTAGAGCCAGAAACTGATGTTTAAATCAGTATGTCTGAGTAACAGCCAGCGTCTTCACTGTCTTCAATTCACGATTTAACACCTAAAAACACAGGCGTCAAACTCTGGCCCTCGGGCAAAATCTGACCCACGGTCCATTTATATTTGGCCCATAGATCATGTATCAAATGTGTGTTAGAACTGGCCAGTCTGCTCATTTTCCACAAAGACTACAAATCCCATAGTGCTTTGCAGCGTTAACGTTCAGTCAAAGCACTCCTCCTTTCCTGTTTACAGTCATTAGCGTCCATGCTACCAGTTCCATAACCTCTTACATCTGGAACACTGCAAATATTCCTCTTAAGCCTAGTTTGGGCTTCTGCGTTAGCTCTCCAAAGGAGAGACACACACAGACGGAGACGTTTTGCTCTTCAGACTTCTGTCTCCTGGGGAGTGTTGCAAAGCAATTCCCTACCAGGACAACAGAGGGCGTAGCGCTGTTCTGTGGTATCCTGTCATGTATCTGGTCCAAGATAGAGCATTTACTATTGTGTTTATATTGTTTTGTGTATTTCAGAGACTTTTTAACAAGGACAAATTTGTCCCTCATTCTCCTCCACCTCCTCATGTGCTCGCCACCTCTAAACCCACGTTCCCCATCATTTTCATTCACAATTAAAACATTTGCTACGTATCTTTTTACTCCTCCAGCCACGGGTGAATAAAACGTTCATATTTTTAGTTTTTCTATTAGGTATTCTTCAAGCTGCTCTGTGTTTTCGGCTGTCTTCATGTTTATTGAAGCGGTAATGACGGTGCTACTACCGAATTTAACCCTCCCACTGTCCTAATGGGTGTGACCCCGTGAGAAAAGTTGACCATTGAGCAGGGTTGATGGTTTATCCCTTGGGTCCACGTGGCAGAGGTGAGGAGTGAGCACCACCTCGCCCCTGCCACGTGGACCCCAAGGGATAAACCATCAATCCTGCTCAATGGTCAACTTTCCTCGCGGGGTCACCCATAAAGACAGTGGCAGGGTTAAAGGAAGCGGCATCCTGACCAATCAGAAGCTTGCGTTCTCCGTCTCATTCAATGGATGTTTAGAAAAGTGGGCTCAACTCCGTCCATCCTTGCGAGCCTGCTGGAAAGCTCTCGCAAGGACAGATCATGGCGATAATACCAACGCAGAAGCATGAACTAGGTTTTACTCAGCACCGGGTTTAGCCGAGGATTTGTAAGTAAGTAAGTAAATTTTATTTATGTAGCACTTATCACAGACATAGAATCACAAAGTGCTTCACATACTAGATTATAAACAAAATTGAACAAAGTCATAAAACTTGCCGACTTTGAAGGCCAGACATCAGGATTCCAACTGCTCAGTAATCCGTTTGCGGCTGATGTGGAAAGCGTGCCAACCAACCTCCAGATGCTGCTCAGCTGAATGAACTCCAGTGTAGGCGCTGCAGTTTTATCCTCCCCGACACACCGACCCAACCCCATGCCCTAGCTGTTCAAATGCTCTCTACGTTCAGCAGTGTTTTATTAAGTTTTAATAAACAAAGGATCCATGTATCAATGTTCCCGACATTGTTAACTAATAAGTGTCCTTAAGGTTAAAACAATAGGCTGGAGGAGGTGGGTGTCAGTGTAGTAATGCCTTAATATTTAGCTGTTGTTAATACTTTCTTCGACTGTTAATTAATGCTTAATGATGCACTAAGTAACGTTAATAAACGGACCCTTATTATTATGTCTCATAATGATCTTTTTGTACATTTGTCTCAGTAACGTATGGAAGTGCTGTGTCTGAAGACCAGAAATATGCTTGTCTGGAGACTCATTCCTTAAAAGCTGTTGCAACATACAAGGTTTCACCACATGGAGGCGCACTAGATCTCCTATTAGCAGCTGTGAGGTTGAAATGACACACACACACACACACACACACACACACACACTCACATCCTGATGACTCATAACTAGTGCAGCAGCTTTTTTTCTTTCCTTTTCTAAACCACCAGAGGGGAGCAGGATATTGTGCTTGCTGTCTAGAAAACATGGAGGACCACTGGTATTCAAATGTATTTCCGTGTTCGTGTGTTACAGCTGTTGCTGTTTGTCCCAGAAAACTGACTCAGTAGAGGACAATCAGTGCTTTGCCTCCTCCTCCTACCTGCACAGCTGCACTCACATGGGCTGATCACCTCCTGAGCAACATAAAAAGGAGAGCTGCCAGGAGGAAGGGAGAGACTGGATCTGTGCCAGTTCTCTTATGTGCGTCATTTGTTGGTGTTTTAATGGGTTTTAGTTGTTTAAGCTTGGTGAAGCTTAACAACTTTTAGAGGTTTTTAACAGACGATGGACCAGAGTGCTGGTTTCCTCTTGGCTCCCAAACTTGTGTTGAAGTCAGTGGACTTTGTTTTGTGAATGTTTGGGAGCATTCGGATGTCTGTTTTAAACGCAAACCCTTGGCTATTTTAACAGTGTGTTTTAAGTACTTTTAGATTTGGAGCTTTTTGTCATTTTAAAATCCTTTAATATCCTTGTGTACCATTCTAACACCTGAAACACATGCCTCTGTGTCACTCCCTGTCCTTCTCCTTATCCACCGATAAAAGACGTAACATAGTATGTGTTTCGGTTTCACCCATGTGCGATATCAGATGTTGATCTGTACAGATTTTCTATAAAAAAGGGCACATGAATTATCTGCCAGTCATCTAACACCCCAGTCATCTGGTGTTTTCCTTTCCAAGCAATTGTTAACATTTGTATTCATTTATCCATCCCCTGTCACTTATGATGGTGTTTAGATGGAATTATACGTCTCATGCTCCCACTTGCAGAGGGATGATGGCTGTGTTTGCCTCCCATCTGTCTCAGCTCTGAACTCGTCCTGTTGTACATCTGGATGTGACAGGAAGTGTTTGTGGCGTATGCATAAAAGACCTCAAAGCAGCACTTGACCTGAAAAACCTGGAAACCTGTGAAGTAAAAATGTTTCCTCTCACCGCTCTGGGAGAATTATCACATGTGATGGAAATCTTCAAGGCGTAGTGTTAGTGGAAGTGGAGCAGTGAGCACAATGCATGTTGCCTCATTAAGTGGATTTTTAATAATACAGTCATATTGTCCAGATTGTGTTCTTCAAAGTGATCTCAACGTAGGCTTGAACATGCAGAAAAGCCTCTTGTGAAACCCAAAAGCCTGCAACGCACACACGGGCAGGAAGGGATCTTTGCACATATTTTGACCTCCTCGGCACACATAACTTCCCTTCCTTTAAAAAAAAACAAAAACAAACATTTTTGGTTCCTCATCATGGAGTTCAACTGGAGAAGTGTGTGTGTGTGTGTGTGTGTGTGTGTGTGTGTGTGTGTGTGTGTGTGTGTGTGTGTGTGTGTGTGTGTGTGTGTAAACCCTGACAGTGTGCAGGCTGTTTGTGGGAGGCAGGTGCTAGTGAATGGAATGCATGTGATTGTATGAACAGGTTAAGCTCTATTTCAGTCTCTATATTAAAACTTGTATTCAAAACTGATTATAGTGTTTCAGAAAAAAAAATACAGAATAAAGTAAAACAACACAGCACAAGTCCCAAAATAAAATCGCTGCCTTTAATGTCACGTTTGTCTGAAAGCTTCCTCAAAGTCATTTTACGTAGTTTACGGTTTTAACGTAGCATCTACTTCATTTATGCCAAGTTGGGTACAGACGCAGGAGAACTCAACACTGCCCCCTGGTCGCAGCCTTTGGTATAACAGCTGTTCCGTCTGAGCAGAATGGATCAGAAATCGATCTGCGCAGGGCCGGCTTTGGCGACAGGCGACACAGGCGGCCGCCTGGGGTGCCATCTGATGGATAGGGCGCAAAATAAAAAAAAAAAAAAAGTTTATTACATTTATGTTTGTTATGTGAAATGCACTCTCTACATACTCAAAATTCCCCTCTGAAATGACATGAAATTAAAACATCAATATTTAAATTCTAATGATCTGTCTGCGTGACGAGCTCCCGCTTGGGCCACCGCTCCGATGCATTTGACCGTTAAGGGTGCCGTAGATCACGTGCGTGGGTAGCGCTGTAGAAGGACATCCTGTTGTCGTCACGTTTAAACTTTTGGTATTTTACGATGAAAAGAACACCTAAGCCATCGGGATCAGCATTCCGAAAGCGAAGGAAGGAGGAAGGAAAAAACGGGCCCAAAGCAGAGGTATGTGGACTTTATAAATTTGGCAAAGGAACTTTTTGTGTTACCATTGTAGCTAACTGCCTCTCCTGCCACGCACGGACCCTCGCTAGCTGTTTACATACACAATACAGTATCTCATAACTTTAACCAATTAATTTTACTTTTGAATCGTCGTGTCCAGATGCAGTGAGACAATATCTGCAGCCACACAGGCACCTGTGGACACCACGGGGGCGGGACTGTCTTCTACACCTGTTGAGTCTCATTGTGATGACGAAGAACGTAAGATCATCTGCGGTCCTCTTCTACCAACTAAATAACGCCAGCGTCATAAACCACGTGTCCCAGGCAGGGCACCGTAGTAGAAGAGCAGTAGTGGTGCACGTAGGTGCGTGCGCATGCAATGTTCTTTATGTCCTTTATGACGTCACGCACAGCTGCCTGTAAATAGCTCAAAGCAGCTCTTAAACTCACTTCACACCAGATACTCGACGGAGTAACAGTTAAGACTCAGCTTAGAACAACATGTCTACTTTTGACAACATGAGTGAAAATATGAATGTTGAAGCTCTTCTCAGAATGCCTCGACCAGCTCTGAAAGATGAACTTTTGAGATTTATGGCTGAAAATAAAACAATGCAAGAGAAGCTCTTCACAATGAAGAATAAACATGAAGACAATATTTCTGCAGTCACCTCAGAATTGAAACAATGTCATCACGACCAATTGTTAGAGAAAGAGAAACAAATTAATTTACTTAAGGATGACGTTAGGAAGAAAGACAAAAAAATATTGAAATTACAAGACGAATATCGAATGTTAAGGATAGATTTGGAAAAGGAACTCATCAAAGTTAAGCAACAGAGAGACGCCGTTGGACTACTGGAGTTTGAAAATCATGATTTACAAAACAAGATTACTTTTCTGACCAAAGAAAACGAGGAACTGTTGAAAAATAAACGCGCGTTAGATATTAGAATGAATCACATGGACAGATGTCACACTAAGGCCCAAACCAAGATTTTAGAACTAGAAGAACAATTACAAAATGAAACTACCAGCCGCGTCCAGGCAGAAACATTGATCAAGATGTTGACGCCTGTTGGATAAAAATTGTGGTAATCAAACAGAGTTTAACATCGTTATTTACATTTAAATTAGTAATGCCTCCCTCCTGCAGCTAATCAAGGCCAGACTGGATGTCTCCATGGTCCAGTGTTGCCAGATCCAAAATCCCACAATATCGTACAGAGAGGCCTAAATTATCGTTTTTCAGTACAAATTATCGTACATTATAAATTTGATAATAACGTTCTATAAACGACTTCTCACTCCATTATAATATAACAAAGAAGGTGTTTTATATTGCCCTGTTTAAATAAACATATTTAAAACCAGTAATATAATGCCTATAAACGTGCCACATTATATAACCTTACAGTTTCTCGCAAGAGTAGGCCCTATCGATGTGATTGGGCTATTTATTGTACAGATCCAGAGTCAGTTTTTGTAATAGACACAATAGCATAAGCACTGAGGTGAAATCTGACTTCAAAACAGTTTAAATTATGTAATGGACTTGGGAAAGCCACAGCAAAAGACGGTGTTACTAGGTGCAATGTGAAATTATCGTACATTTGAGGATTTTTGAAACTATTGATCGTACATCGTACAGAGCCCAAAATTATGGTACAAATACGATAATTATCGTACATCTGGCAACACTGCCACGGTCCTGCTGTGAAACCTCTTTGAAGTATTCCCTTTTGTCTTCCGTGATAAGTAGGTGTGGTTATCTCTGGTGATGTGATTCCTAATAAAAGCTCTCGACAGCTTTACCTCTGTGTGAGAACAAACCGCCTCTGACTCTGGTGTGTATGTTTCACCCTTTGCAAAGTTGAATTTGTTGATTGATTGTATGCTGATTATAATTAAGCAAATTATTAATCTAATCCCTCTGTGTATGCTCTGACTTTCTTTGAGGTAATTTTGGGAGTAATATAAAATTATCCAACAACGCCTTTCAAACATATAGCCAACTATTTGGAAATCGAAAATGAGTCACTGAAAGATGAGATACACAAACTAAAAAAACAAATCTGCAGAACGCATCAACCAGATTCATCTTTTGACTGAAAAAACCAATGAGCAGCAACTGGAACTTAACTTTCACCATGAATACTGTAGAAATAGATGACAAGCCTCCCAGATACATAAGGATGACCAGATGGTAGAACTAAAAACAGAGTTACACACTTCTCAGATGAACTGTCGGACAGCCCAAAACGAACTTAGCAAATACAAGCATTTAAACAATGTCCTTTCAGATAAATTGTCAAATGCCAATCAAGAAATACATAAATTAGAAAAAGATATCCATAAATCTGAACATACGAAGTGGCTGGATTCAAGAAATCAGGATCAGAAGACTCTTAGAGATAAGTGTGATGCTTTGGAGAAACAACTGCAGCATACGAAGATAAAAGTTGGCACATGCAACGGAGCAAATGAAACGCTCAGCTAATGAAGACAGAATAAGAACTAATGAAATGAAAATGTTAGAAGAAGATAAAAGAGAATTATCAAAGCAGCTGGAGTTGAAGACAGCACAGATTATTGAACTAAATGGTAAATTACAACAGACTAATCATAAGTTAGAAACCAACAAAACGTTTGCAACACACGAAAAAAGGCTTCTTGAACGGCGCTTGAGAAAAAATGAGAATGTTCCTGTGGCAAATCCGTCTTCTGCTCAGGAAGGATGCTCGACTCGTTTCAGGAATCACGTTGTCTTGCCCTCTAAAGCACCCAAAAGGAAAGATAATCCCCTTCCTCCGATAAATAAGTAAGTCCCTCTAGATTTCACGCAACACATCATGAGAAGACTAACAAAAACACCTTAGAACATCTCTGAATGAGGTCCGACTAATCATTAGATAGCTAGATGATGTTAGAACACATCACTACTTAGACAAATCATGTGTTGAAAACTTAGTGATGTCATAAAGGAAAAGGGGAAGTGCCATAGTTAAAGGAATTAGATGAAGGACTTGGGATATGCAAAAACAGGTTAAAATTGGGATTTCTCTCTCTCTCTCTCAGGAGGTTTAGGCTCTATGCTGCAAGAGATCTCTAACCAGATAGAAAGTTCACTCTGAATTCACTCCACCCAGCTGTGGAGACGATAACCAGTTGTTGTGTGTCGGGGTGAGTACTCCTCCTTCTCTACAACATCTTTGTGAGATCTTCATTCCAGGAGAGGGCACTCACCAGCTGCGGAGCATTACCAATCAGCGGCAGCGGCAGATCCTCAGATCAACCGCAGCAGAGCTCTATTTAAGAAGAGAGGGAACTACTTCACATCGCTGGATGATTAGCTACTCACGGTAGTATCTTGCCTCTCTCAAGTCTTAAGCCTGGTTTAGCTCCGCAAGGGACAGACACGCACGGATTGACGGAAGCGTTTTGCTCTTTTACTTCTCCGTCTCCTGGAGAGTGTTGCAAAGCAATTGTCCGGCAGGACAGCAGAGGGCGTAGCGCTGTTCTGTGGTATCCTGTCATGTATCGGTCCAAGATAGTGTGTTTATATTGTGTTTTTTGTGTATATAAGAGACTTTTAACACGGACATATTTGTTTCTCATTCTCCCACCTCTTCATGCACTCCCCACCTCTAAACCCACGTTTCCTGTCATTTCCGTCCACAAATAAAACGCTTGCTGCGCATCTTTTCACTCCTCCAGTCACGGGAGGATGAAACGTTCATATTTTTAGAGTTTTTTTCACGAGGTATTCTTCAAGCTTCTCCGTGTCTGCCGCTAGTTATCCTCAGCTCTCTTTGCAATGGCGGCGTTGTAAACAACAGCGGCATCCTGACCAATCATAAGCTTGCGTAATCCGTCTCGTTCGACGGATGTTTAAAAAAGTGGGCTCGACTCCGTACGTACTTGCATGCCCTACACAAGGACGGATAATGGCGTTGCGTGTCTCCACACTGACGCAGACGGAGAAGCATAAATCAGGCTTTAGGTTATGCTTGGTCTCTGCTCAGACATTTTTGCTGTCGCAGTATTTTGATGTATTGGATTTTTTCTTGGATTCTTGTGTTTGGGCCATTTTGGACTCAAGTTTGTATTCCTCTTCAGGATACTTGGAAACGCTGAACCATTGATGGAATATACCTACCTGGAACTCACCATAACCTGCCTGGACAACAACTCTCATGGTTCGCCTCTCCTCCTGTTCCTCCTATCCTCTGCCGCCATCATCTGGCTCCCTCTCCTGGACGCACCCCGTCACACCATCTGCCCTCCCTACTGACTTCTGGACTCTTTCTGGCTTCATTGAACTTGGATATCTCCAGGACACTTTTAGTTAGGTTTAATAAATCATTGTTTGAACTTTCTGCCGTTGTTTTGTGATGATTCTTCATGTCGTGGGTTAAACACCTTCCCAGGGACATGACACCAGTAGGGTTATTCAGAATAACACAGATCTCCTTACAGGTGGAGATCAGTAGAGCCAGCATTACTGAAGGCTCATTGTTTTTTGAATTAGCTAAAAAAAATGAGGCAACACAAGGATTATGTAACAGCTGACACCGTCCAAATCCTGTCAATGACTCTTTGTGCTGCCTGAAGGTTTTGTCTGGGAGCTCCAGTTCACCCCCGTCTAAAATCCCACATCCTAAAGCGGTTATCTTCAGATTTTAGTTGAGGTTCAGGTAAACTATAAGCAGAATACATATTTCATCATTTTACTGTAGATTTTTGGAGAAACGGCAGGTCAAAGAGCAGTAAAACACCTTTGTAGGATAAGTGTTTGTATCATTTTCAGGAATTTGTTTCTCCAAACAGCTGAGAGGTGACGCCAAACTCTCCACCTCTCTCTCAGGGCGTTCAGGCTCTATGCTGCAAGAGATCTCTAACCAGACAGAAAGTCTTAACTCTGAATACAGAGGTGACAGCTGTGGAGACGATAAGCAGGAGTGTGTGAATGTAGATTCAGTTTTGATATGAACTCTTGAGTAAGATTAAACTTTTGGATTATAGATTCAGGGGTATTCAATTCCAGGTCTGGAGGGCCGGTATCCAGCACGTTTAGTTTTAACCCTGCCTCAACACACCTGATTTCACAAAACATTCTCACCAAGGTGACCAAGCGTTTCTGCAGAGCCTGATGAGCGTCTGCACAGGTGATTCAACCGCTGAATCTAGTGTGTTGAAGCAGAGAAACCACAATAACGGAATGTGTACCGGCCTTCCAGGACTGGCATTGAATTGAATATCCGTGTTAAATTGATAGATAAAATATTTATTAATGAAATAAAAGAATAAAACCATTACTAATTCATGATTTAAAGAAGAGAAACTGTGCAAATGATAATTGTTTTGGCTCTTTAAAGAGCCACTTGCAGGTTAGAGACTCCCATGAACCGATGTTTAGAGAAACGTAATAGAAACTGGTTTTAAACATTTTTTGAACACATACATCAATTATTTAGGCTTTTAGAGTCATTTTTGTGAGCAAGGTTTTTTTTTATTTTGGGCCAAACAAAGTGACGCCAGCTGAGGGAGTCCTGTTAGCTTAATCCAGAGAAAATAATGGACTAATGCCGGCTCTGACACAGAGGAAACTTTTAATCAGGGGTGGGGAACCCTGGTCCATCGAGGGCCGCTATCCAGCATATTTTAGTTTCAACCCTGCATCATCACACCTGATTTCAATCAGCAGGTGTCTTGTGAGTTAACAATGCTAGCTTAAACTCGTGTGCTAACATCACAATAGTGTACAGATTACTATTGTGTACCAGACAATTCAAAATAGTATTGTTCAGTTAATATTAATACTAATGAGCGTCTGTCAGCTGTCCTGTGGAGGTTCCTCCAGCCATTTCTCAGTGTTAGTATTATTTAAATATCTTTTTCCACACGCTGGTTTATTATTTCATTTTGGCAATATTGTAAGATGTTTACTAATGGGTGCACACATTTAGTAATTTATCTAACACATAGTTTTTTTGATCATTAACTATTTTCATTTGTATTCCTGAGATTGGATGAACTGGCAGAGAGAGGGGACACGCCCAGTGTAACTCCATGCAGGAAGTGGAACATTCCATCTGGCTCCTGGAAGCAGGGGACTTGATAATGAAGAAACCAGAAACCAGACATTCTGAAGCTCTTGAGTTTACCAGATTTTGTTAGGATGTATTAGTTAAACTTTTTTTGTGGTAGTTGTACTTCGTTGACTTAGTTTCCTAGGTTTATTTACTGTTTGTCTTAGTGTTTCCCTTGTCTCTCCCCTCCTCGTTGTCTGTAGGCTAGCCTGTGTGTATAAATTCCCCTGTGTGTCTCAGTTTAGGGAGAGTCTTGATTGTTACTTTTAGTTAAGGTTATTTTTGTGGCCATTTTTTCCTTTGGGCCCGTTTTGATTTTAATTCTTTATAAAATAAATGGAGAAGATATTCTTTTTAAACCATTGTCCTGGAGTTTTACTGCTCGGTCCCTGACATGTCCCATACTCTTTAATATCTGTTCACGTAACGTAGTTTAGTGCTTAGAGAGAGACGCCTGTGATCCGGTTCTGGGGATCATGCGGGCTTCTGCTAGTTGGATCTGACCCAGCCACCAGCGAGCCATTCATCTTGGTATTTTTAAAAGCCGCGCATCCTCTCCTGGCGGTCCAGGCGGGGGTTCTGATGGTTTCGACCCACAAACCAGCTGACCCGCGCGTCTCTTCTGGTGGTCGGTTCTAACGTAGTTCTGACGGTGGGTTAGGGTTACCCTAACCTTTCCGGTACCGACCGATGTGGGCTACAGAAGTCCATCTTTTCAGCTGCGCAATACGCCCTCAGAGCATGTGATCTGTTAGGACTGTTGGCTAGTTGCTGCTTATCGATAAATAAAATACGTTTGAGTTTTAGCAGTTGTAACTGCTCATGAAGGATATTTTGTTTTTTGTGGAATAAAACGCCATGCTCCAACTGATGTTCAACTGGTTCTTTATCTTCTTGTTACCAGCAAACACCGTGAAAAACTACGGTGAAATGAACAACAATAAACACAAATATTAATTTTAGAAACATAAACTTATAACTCAGATATTAATGCAATACAGATAAATATACAAACACACCGTGTGCGCCTCTCCACTTAATATTCACAAGCAATTTCAGTCCATGTCCACTTTTCTTTATCCGATGTGAGCTTCTTCTGGTCGCTTCTCCGTGCTTGTGTCAGTTAATCATTCGCTCCGCTCGCGCGCACCTTCCAGTGTCAAATTTCAATCCAGCCAGCAGGTGGCGTCAAATCAACAAAGAAATTAAATTAAATATTTCCACAGTTAAATCAAACAAATGACAATGAATAACCACATTTAACTGCGACAGCTACACTGCCACCAAAATTACAATGATTGAAATTCACTACACATTAAAGAACTTTAAAACTTGTAATTTTCAATAAAATAACTATCAACCATAAACCTTTGTTATGAAACACACAGAAATCAGTAACTTGATAAACTCAAATATCACATTTTAATGTTGTATCAAATTTTGTACTTTACTGTAGTTTAGGACTCACTTTTAACCAAAACCACTAGTTTTTGAACAGGTCTCTCCAGAAAAGATAGTTGTCTCAGACGTTCGCCTTTGTTCCCTAAATCTCTTTGACCTACTTGGATCTTAACCTTTCTCACTAAACCATCATCGTCTTCACTGGCTTCAACTACCTTTGCCAATTTCCATTCATTTCTTGGAATGTTGTCTTCCTTTAATATCACTACATCTCCAACTTGAACATTTCTTTTGGGGTTGTGCCATTGTTGCCTCAAACTAATGGTAGTCAAGTATTCTTTGCGCCACCTGCTCCAAAACAGTTCCGTTAAATATTGCACTCTCCGCCACCTTTTTCTGGCATATAAATCTTCACTGACAAATCTACCAGGAGGCGAAAGTGGTACTGATTCTTTCATAGTGAGCAAATGGTTAGGCGTCAAAGGCTCAGCACTCTTGGGATCATTCATTGTGTTAGTAGTGAGTGGACGCTGGTTCAAAATTGACATGGCCTCATAGAAAAAAGTTCTCAAGGAGGTGTCATCTAATCTTCCTGTGGCTTGTGCTAGGACAGAGCTCATGACGTTCCTAACTGTTCGGATCTGGCGCTCCCAAACGCCTCCCCTGTGACTAGCTTCGGGAACATTCATCAGAAAATCACATTGGTTTTTAGCAAGATAAGTAGAAATCCTCTCGTTGTCTAACTCCAACAGACACTTTTTGAACTCGTTCTTTCCCCCTACAAAATTGGTACCTTGGTCAGAACGAATTTGTCTCACTGTGCCCCTGATAGCTATGAAGCATCTTAAAGCATTTATAAATGCGTCAGTGGAGAGATCCTCCAACATCTCAATGTGTACAGCTCTAGAACTTAAACAAGTAAACATCAAGCCATATCTCTTACACTCTTTTCGACCCTGTTTCGTATAGAAGGGGCCAAACACATCAAGTCCAGTGTAGGTGAAAGGTGGTGAAGGATTTACTCTGTCACATGGTAAATCAGCCATGCGTTGTTCTTCAGTTGGTCCACGCACCTTTCTACAAATGACGCATTCTTTAATGAGCTTGGACACTACCTTACTAGCACCTATGATCCAATAACCATTTGCTCTAAGTTCGTTCAGAGTTTGGCCTCTGCCTTGGTGCTGTGTTTTCTTGTGGTAGTGGTCAAGAACAAGCTGAGTGACAATGCCTTCTTTAGGAAGGATTACTGGATGTTTCAGTTCAAATGATGCTGAGGACTTTCTCAACCGTCCTCCTACTCTAAGCAAGTTGTCTACAAGGATAGGATCCAGTTGATACATCTTATGGGCTTTTGGTAGTTTAGCTGTTTTTTGACTAAACCATCTGAGTTCCTCTTCAAAAGCTTCCTTCTGTGCTAGCTGGAAGAGTACAGAAGCAGCCATTTGTCTTTCTTTCACACTGATGGCTCCTGATTTGTCTCTTTTTGCAAGTCTTTTAATCCTTGCTACCACATTAAGTGCTGTGATCCAATCAGAGCATTTCATGAACCTCTCAAGAAACCTGTCTTGCTCAATAGCATCTGTTTTAAGAACTTTTACCTCTGGGTCACCAACAAGAAGTTCTGGAGATTGTTGGTTCGTGATAATTTCTCTTTCCCAAAGGAATTTAGGTCCAGTGAGCCAGTTTGAGTTTATTAGCTCTGCCACCTTGAGGCCTCTAGATGCGTGGTCAGCTGGATTTTGATCAGCTTTAATGTAAAACCATTGGTTTGGGTCTGTAGTGTCTCTTATTTTTTGAACTCGATTTGCAACAAACACATGAAAGCGACGAGCATCGTTTTTTATGTACCCAAGAGTCACTTGAGAATCTGTCCAGAAAAACTCCTCGTCGATTTTCCGCTCAAGCTCTGCTCTAAGAAAGTTACTAACAAAAGCAGAAACTGCAGCTGCAGTGAGCTCGAGGCGCGGGATTGTGACTATTTTTATAGGTGCCACTCTGGCTTTACCCATAACTAGAGCACAATGCACTTGTTCATCTGTAACAAACCTAATGTATGAGCATTGTCCATAGCCACTGCTGCTAGCATCAGAAAAATGATGCAGCTCAACCCTTTTGATTTTGCCTAGGTTCTCAGGAAAGAGGCATCTAGGTATTTCGACCTTTCGAAGATTTTCCAAGTCACAGAGCCAAGCTTTCCACTTGGTTTCCAGTGCGGAAGGAACAGGTTCATCCCATCCAACTCCACTTTTGCACATTTCCTGGAGTACTTGTTTTCCTATCAAAGTGTAGGGTGAAAGAAATCCTAACGGGTCATACACACTTGCTACTGTTGCTAGAATTCCTTGGCGTGTGGCTGGCCTTTCTTTGAGGGCTCCACTGAATGTGAACACATCGGCTTCCACATTCCATTTTACTCCCAGCACACTTTTCATTGGAACTTCAGAGTAGTTCATGTTTACATCCGTAGTGTTGCCAGCTCGTTCACTTTCAGGAATAACACTCATGACCTCTTTGTTGTTGCACACAAATTTGTGCAAACGCAACTTCCCTTTAACACAGAGTTTGAGTGCTTCACAGACTAGCTGCTTGGCTTTCTTATCTGTTTCAACACTGAGAAGCCCATCATCCACATAAAAGTTTTTGTGAATGAAACTGGCTGCCAGTGGGTAGTCCTTTTCGTTTCTTCTGGCGAGATGTTTCATGCCAAAGTTAGCACATCCAGGCGATGACGCTGCACCAAACACATGCACTCGCATGCGATATTCCTTTGGCTCAGTATTTGTATTTCCATCCTTCCACCACAAAAACCTTAAGAAATCTCGATCCTCTGGATTAACATGGAAGCGGTGAAACATTTTCTCCACATCGCACATTATTGCGATTCTGTTCTCTCGGAATCTGCACAATACTCCTGCCAGAGTATTGATCAAGTCTGGGCCTGTAAGTAAGTGGTCATTTAAAGAGGTGTCTTCATGTTTAGCAGAGCAGTCAAAAACAACTCTAATTTTTTCTGGCTTTCTGGGGTGATACACACCGTGGGGTGGAATGTACCATGTGTTACCATCCTGTGGTGTTTCTTCTGCTTCCTCTGCATCACCATCTTTAAACACATTATTCATGAACTTTATGTAATCTTCTTTGTACTTGGGGTTCTTGTCCATTTTCATTTTCAAATATTTCAGACGAACTGTTGCAAGCTGCTTGTTATTTGGAAGCTGTGGACGTTCTTTAAAAGGTAAAGGCATTTCTAAATGACCTTGCTCATTGTAGTGAATGTTTTCATTTAGCATCTCTAAAAACTGAATGTCCTCTTGAGATATGTTCCCTTCTTTGGGGTTAGTGTCCAGAAAATCAGCTTCAAGTGCTTTAATCACAGATGCAGGTGTAATAGATGGCAATTCCTTTACTATTACACGATGGCAGGTCCCAGTTGCGCCCACTGAACCTGTCCATGGCTTAATGGGTCCCACAATGCTCCATCCCAAGTCTGTTTTAACTGCATAGGGATCATAATCCTCTCCTGGTATGACCTTCCTTGGTTTTAGAGCTCTTGTACAGTCATAACCAATGAGGAGAGCTACAGGACAGTCCAAGAGATCTGGCATTTCATTTGCAATGCTGAGTAGGTGGGGCCATTTTTTTGCAGTCTCTCGAGTTGGAATACTGTTTTTCTCAAGTGGAATGTATTCTCGAGTATATGTAGGTGGCAATTCAATATACTCTTGTGAGTGGTACCCTCTAACTCTCAGTCCTTCCACTCTTTGACTAGGCACAATAGAACACCTGTCAGTTATGGTTGTCAGCTTTAATTTAACGGGTCCTGTTCTTGCTTGTAATTTTTCACAAACATTTTGATCAATAAATGTATTGCTGCTTTGGGTGTCTAGCAAAGCATAAACCAATGTCTCTGGTCTATTTGTTGAAGAAGAAAGCCAAACTGGGACAATCATTGAAGTGCAATCACTGTTGTCCAATTTCACACTGCATGATACAGTGGCTGCATTTTCCTCTTTCGGTAACATCTCAGGCTTATCTGGTTGTGGATGATCTTCATGAAGAGGAGAAGGGTGCTTCCGCTTACAAACATTACATGTTACTCTTTGTTGACAGTTCTTGGATATGTGACCAACACGAAGACAACCAAAGCACATATTGTTGTCGATAATGAACTGCTTCTTTTCTTCAAGAGACATTGCTGTAAACTTGTCACATTTGTAAATAAAGTGATTTTGCCTGCAGCAGATGCATTCAATTTGCCTTTTATTCTGAGTTGAGGAAAGGTTGGGTTTGGATTTTTTGTTGATCTGTGTTGCAGCTGTGGCCTTTTCATTTGTAGACACATTCGTTGTTGTCATCAGGACACTGGCTTTCTGACGTTTTTGTTCCTTTTCAGGTTTTTCAAATGTGTTCTTTAAGGCAAACAAAGAAGAAACTGGATTGCATGCTATTCGTGCTTCTTCTGCCACAAAGTCAGCAAACTCTGTGAAACCTGGATATTCCTTTCCTTCATCTAACAGTTTTGACACATGACGGTTCCAGCGGGTTGTTGCCCAATCAGGAAGTTTCAGTAATAATTTTTGATTCTCCTCACAATCATCCAACACTTTGAGGCCCTGAACATGGGGCATAGCATTCTTACAGGAAACAAGGAAATCACTAAACTCTCTCAGCTTTAGTGACTCTTTTGGTCCGATCTTTGGCCAACTGCTTAGCTTTCCCCGAAAAGCTCTTTGAACTACAAATGGGTGGCCATAACGGTTGTTCAGAGCATCCCAAGCTTGGTTGTAAGCTTCCTCATCACTGCGATAGAATGTCCCTTCTAAAACACCAAGAGCTTCTCCATTAATGTATTTCTTCAAGTAGAAAAGTTTATGGGCTGAATTTGTGCAACTAGTCTCAATAAGAGCCTTGAAGCAAGTGCTCCACTCAGTAAACTTCAGTGGGTCTCCTGTAAAGGTAAATGGCTCTGGTATTGGAAGTCTAGTCATTGCTAAAGACTCCTTTAAAGCTTGAACTAGAGATAACTCACTTTCTTTTGACGCTACTCTAGTATCACACTTGGGCACTGGAAGATATTTTGGGATCTTGTTGGTTATACCTTCAAAGTTAGGAGGTGCCGTACTCTGGATAGCTTGGGTGTATGGAGGACTGTTAAGAGGTTTGGGAAGCTGACTAAAAGACAAAGTACCTTTTACTTCACTGTTTCTTATTTCAGCATTCAATTTTGATTCCTCTTCAGCATACACATTGTATTCAGCCTCAATAACCTCAAGATCTCTTTGCTTTTCCAACAATTTTAATCTCTCTTGTTGAGCTAATATCTCCTTTCTTTGGGCAGAAATTTCCTTTTCCCTGCTTATTTCAGCTCGTTTAGATGCCAACCGTGCAGCTGCCTCTGCTTTCTTTGCAGATACCTGACTTCCTTGCTTACTATAACTGTTCTGGCTACTTTTTTCAGCCCTAGACACAGTTGAGCCATACATTGACTTAGCATCTTCTCTCTGAAGCAACTGAAGGAGTGAGTCTTTTACAGCAATTGCATCAAACTCCTTATCAACATCTGCATAGCGCCTTTTCAGAAGCAACATCATTTCAGTGGAAACTGAAGAACAGCTATCCATCTTTCTTCTGAAATCTTGAGATGGAGTAGTCAGTGTACGTAAAGCTACATAATCTTGCTGTAGGTCAGATTCACATTTTCCTACTGATTTGATCATTTCAGTTAACTCTGCTTTTGAACATTCCTTTTTAAGTTTGGACCTAGAGAGTTGAATCTCTGCTTTAAAGTTTACATATGTTGACATAAACTTTCTTTCTTTACTTGTTATCTCAGACTGTTTAAAGTCACGCATTTTTTCTGTTAGTTTTCTTTGACGCTCTGAGCGTCTCACTTCTGTCTCAGGTTGGGATGATGGCTGAGTCAAACCTATTTTATGTATTTCAAGGTCTGCATAAATTTCACCTAAGCGTATTTCAACTTCCTCTCTTTCTGCATCTTCAACTTCAGTTTCTAATTTCTTTTCTAAATGTAACTTTTCAAATTCTAAAGCTACAAGTACTTCCTCTAAAACACGAGTTTCTTGTACACCCTGCTCCATTGTGAACAATATTTTAAACCAACAGCTAAGAACAATGAAAGAAAACTTAACATGAGAACACTACTTCAAATTTCAAACTGTAAAATAGTAACAAACCTTTTTTCTTTTTAACAAACTTTCAATAATATCTGTAGCATACACCGTTAATGTCCGTTTTTAAACAACTTTCAATATCTGTAGCATACACCGTTAATGTCCGTTTTTTAAACAGCATTCAATGTCTGTAGCATACACCGTTAATGTCCGTTTTTTTTTTAACTCATAGATACAGTCTGACCTGGTTTCGTATGATGTTGAAAGGCTCTGCAAAACTGCTCAATTCCCAAAACGTCGTATCGGCCCTCTTTATTTCATGCGGATTGGGCCGCAGACTGTGGACTGCCGTCTTCAAAGCATGGCATGCAGGGCTCTGGCTGCGTACTTCTTAACAGGACACGTTTTTCACTGTAACTGCTCATGAAGGATATTTTGTTTTTTGTGGAATAAAACGCCATGCTCCAACTGATGTTCAACTGGTTCTTTATCTTCTTGTTACCAGCAAACACCGTGAAAAACTACGGTGAAATGAACAACAATAAACACAAATATTAATTTTAGAAACATAAACTTATAACTCAGATATTAATGCAATACAGATAAATATACAAACACACCGTGTGCGCCTCTCCACTTAATATTCACAAGCAATTTCAGTCCATGTCCACTTTTCTTTATCCGATGTGAGCTTCTTCTGGTCGCTTCTCCGTGCTTGTGTCAGTTAATCATTCGCTCCGCTCGCGCGCACCTTCCAGTGTCAAATTTCAATCCAGCCAGCAGGTGGCGTCAAATCAACAAAGAAATTAAATTAAATATTTCCACAGTTAAATCAAACAAATGACAATGAATAACCACATTTAACTGCGACAGCTACAGCAGTTAAATAGTTTCCATTAGGCGTTTCCTTTATCGGTTCTAGACTAACTTTGTTATTAAGCTAACTTTAAAAATCGTTGTTTTTAAGTGCGTATTATTTTGAAGGAACTTACCAGAAGTGCAAAGAACGCTACCTGTAACAGCTTTTCTTTTGTCAGAGGACAGAAAAATCCTTACTACCGTAAACCAGATTTTAGTTGACCTAAATAATATTCCTTATTAACAGAGTATGTGGACATGAATCAAACGAGATTACTAGTATTTCCTTTAAAAGTTTAATCAAAGAACAAAGTGACAGTAATCGCATTTACTTTTTTTCAGTAGCTAAGACATTCCTTGTGAAATCCTTCAACACTGATTCTTTTCCTCTTTAAAAGACAAGGCAGCTTTATTTTAAAGCACATTTCATACACAGAAGCAACTCAATGTGCTTTCTTTCTGTGTCCATAAACGTCTTTGTGTGTTTTATTAGATGAAGTTGGATGTCTATTAGTCTTGAGCTAATAACTAATAATTTGATAGGGTCTACGGTAGCAGAAGAGTGCCCACCCTAAATTTGAAGTTCTCCTTTGAGAGCAAAGGCCTCACTTCAAAACCAAACTAGAAAAATGGAATAAAACAGGTAACAGTGTGACAGCTGACAGTGTCTGACAGGAAAAGCTCTCCCTTGTTCAAACAATATCTGGCTGCCAGGATTTCCTCTACCTGCCTCAAGAAAGGTGAGAGCCACTGATCAGGGTCATCACCACCGTGGAAAGCAGGAGACTGTCCAAGGAACATCGCACATGAAGCTCCAGATCCTCCAGAAGCCATGCCTTTTAATCCCTGGAGTTGCTTTCTGCAGCCTTTTGGAGCCCACAGGTGACGAGTTTCACCAGGAGCAGAGACAAGGCTGCAAAACCCCCAAATATAGACACTTATTTACTGCTCAGACATGCAAAGTAAATGTTTTAAACCCAATAAAAATGGAACTCTGCACAAAACTTTTTTTCTTATTTTATTAAAAATATGGTAATCGGATTTAAAATAAAGAAAAGCTGAGCACATGTTTAGTTTAGATGCAAACATCAAGTCTTTGTACAAAGTGAATCCAAACAGATTTAATGATCTGTGTAGAAACGTCAGAGTCCAAACATGCCTGAGATCTCCATCCCCTTCCCTTTTACATGACATATATGATGTTGCTTCTCTGAGGCTTCACACACAAAACATGGCTGATGGATTCATTTCCTCCCCATGATGAAGCTGGGAACCTCGGCATCATCATCTCCCTCTTCCTCTTCTTTCTCCTCCTTCTTGTCCTCCTCGCTGCTCTCGGAGTTCTCCTCTGCCTCCTGCTGGTTTTTCTCCTCCTGTTTAGCCTTCTTCGCCAACAGTTTCTTCTGCTTCAGCTTTTCCCGCTTGTTCCTCCGCTTCGCCGTCCGCTCCTCTGCCGCCTTCTTGTTTAGCTCCACTTTTTGGAGGTACTCCTTGTCCTTGTCTTGCTTCGCGGCAACTTTATCCAGGAAGTCCTGCCTCTGGTACTCTCTGCGGCGGAGGTGCCGATAGACATGGAACTCCCCGCTGCCTGCGCCGGCGCTGGAGCCCATGACATCCCGGACGAACTCCGGCGGAGCCCGCGGGTTCCACTCCTTGGCTCGGTCCGGGATGGGAGCAGGCTTGTCGGGGTTTCGCATCAACCGCTCCAACTTTAAACGCTGTTCATCTGCCGGAGTTTTAGCTATTATTAGAGGCTGCGCCTCTTTTCCTCCAGGTTTTCCTCCGGGCTTCCCTGGCTTGTTATTTTTCTGCGTGTGGGCCGCCATCTTTGAAAATTTCTTCTTCGGCTGCTTCCGTTTTGTACAACTCACCCCGGAAGTACTTCACGACTTCGAAAGGAATTTTTGAAAAAATAAAAAAGTATGACAAGTATAACAATTACTAGTTATTTAGGTCGTAGTAAGGCTGTAATGAAAACATTAATCAATATTTAGAAAGTAATTTGCGCAACTGACGTTGTTTTTTTGATTGACATTTGAATAAACCAATAGTAAAGCATATTCGATTTCAGCCAAGCTCAGTTGTCCAATCAGCATCCAGATCCCGCCTCCTAAGCGTATGTGTTGACGGACGACTTTCTCTCTTGCCTCTGAGCTGAACTTGTCCGTTTACTCGCCTTTAGTTTTGCTCGACGAACGACAAAACTCATAAAAGATGAACAGTTTAATTAGATCTACTGCCAGGTGTCTCCGCTCGGGCGCGGCGGTCTGTGTGCCTAGGCAAGCGGATGGACGCGTGTGGTCGGCCTCGGTCAGGTTTCTGTGCGCGGCGGCGGACCTCCAGAAGGACCTTGGTGAAATGGTGAAGAAGGACAAAGTGGTGGTGTTTATCAAAGGGACGCCAGCCCAGCCCATGTGTGGCTTCAGCAACGCGGTGGTTCAGATCCTCCGGATGCACGGAGTGGACAACTATGCTGCTTACAACGTTCTGGAGGACCAGGACCTACGAGAAGGTCGGTACAGGGGCAACAGGTTCTCCTGATACCCTCTTTAACGATTTAATCAGTGTCCTCGTTAGCTTTAGCCTTTCATTTACCAGGTCAGTTGCTGTCTTATTCAAACTAACCACACCTCTGAGATGTTTATCCTTTTATCAGAGGCATGCAGCAGGACACACGGGGTGTGGTGAACCACCACTCACATCTCAGACTCTAGGCTCTAACCAGCTCATTTATTGTGCTTTAAATCTCATATTTGCGATTAATGAATGATTCTACTTTTTCAGGAGCGTTTTTGCTCAGCATCATAACTGAGTAGATATGTCCAGATATACACCAATTCTGGTTTTTAGGGCTAATACTGATGTCTTGCTGTTCATCTCTGGCCCAAGTACAAACTTTGATATGGACTGTTTGCGACGAGTAAGCACTTCTAAATGTACAAACTGAACAACTCTAACAGAACATGCTCTATATTGTCCGGTTGTGAACTGAATTCAGATTTTTTTTTCTGGGTACTTCTTTAAAGTTTTAATGTGCATCGTCGGTGTGTTTTGCCCTTGTTCTGCCAACTTTACATGCAATGACTTTTTCTAACGCAAGGCAACTGTTAGGCTTCAGAGGGTAAATAAAGGTTTGTTATGCGGAAGACAAAATATAAGCAGGCTCTCAGAGGGGAATATATAATATTCATATTTTTAAATATTCCAAAATGGGCTCTAATAACCTCAGAGAACATAACCTCCAGTTTTGTTAGTAACTAGTACATCTCCCTTCACTTGTGAGTACAGAAATCTACCAGATGTCCACCTTTACAGCATAGGAGCAAACCAATGATCTCTCTTCTCTAACACTAGGGGTCAAAGTCTTCTCCAACTGGCCCACTATCCCCCAGGTTTACTTCAACGGTGAGTTTGTGGGAGGCTGTGACATCCTGCTGCAGATGCACCAGAACGGAGACCTGGTGGATGAGCTGAAGAAGCTCGGCATCCGCTCGGCGCTGCTGGACGCGGAGAAGGAATCCAAGTAAAACTCCAAACGGCTGAGAGGACAGAGGACAGTCATCACTGCCAGCTAAACTGATCATTACAAATAAACTGGCTCTGAAGATTAATGACCTGCAACTCAGCTGGTCAGTCAACGAGACAACGCAAGAATGCTGTTTCACAAGATCCGACAGCTGAGGGCTTTAATCCAAGGTCTGGGAACAGACTTCCCAGGAATTTCAGAATTCCTAACACATTTGTGCTGCTAGTTTGGGATACACAGAACCCCTAAACGCAATAATCCCATCCCGTACATGAATCTGTGTTTAAATAAATCATGGTTTTTATTTGTAATAGTTTAAAGACAGCTCATCAGCCCTCACGTTGTCCTCTGAAATCTCTGCTGTTAGACATTTTCATGAATCAGTTAAGAAAGAAAAGAAATGAGCCTCTGACTGACTGGGTCACCTAAAGCTGCCTGGACCGCACGACTGATGTCAGCTCACTTGAAACCTTCCAGATGCACTGCCTGTAGCCCGTTAGCACACAGAGCAAACGGGCCTAGGAAAGGTCTAATCACACAGTTTCTAACTGAACTACTTGCTCTTTTTGCTAAAGGTTAACATCCAGAATGTTAGGTTTTATGTTTGCCGTCACCGACCGAGGAGACGTGCCAGACCAACACGGATTCCTTCCTCCTGACTAACTTTCTGCCCAGAGGCAGTTAGCTAGTTCGCTCCAAGTCCAAACTTTGTTCTTCTCCCTAAAGGAAAAGTGGTGTTATATTTTACTTTTGAGTGTTCTTAAAGATGTTCCACCTACTGCTGAGTTTATTAAACATGTAGAACACTGTAAGATATTGTACATGCTAAGCGTATCAGATGTATTTTAGAGACGTGTTATCCCTGCAACAAATAAATATTTTGAGACGCGTAACGTGTTGGATCTTTATTTTTGTGTTATTTCATTAGATGATGGTGGAAGCACCCAGCTGAGGTTTGAGTTCTTACCTTAGCTTGTCTGCTAAAGCCAGGTTTATTTGATTTGTGCGTGTTGAAGCAGGGAAAAGGCTAAAACTGGTTACCAGGGCTAGCATAATGCTAGATTTGAACATGAAATGATAACCAAGCTGACTTCTACAGACGCTGCTCATTTAAATCAGCAGATGTGGAGCCTATACACCGCTCGCTCGTTTCTCTACTGGGATCTGAAACCAAAACCATCACTAGGGTTCTCGGTGACAGACCACAGCATAACCACTGGTTCCTACCGAGGTCTGCAGAACAGCCTCTCTGAGGCACAACATGTGGAACCTCAAACTTGTCTGAGCGTAGCAGAACGCCCACCTAGTCCACTCCGAGACCACATCTGAAGAGCTAGCAGAGTGTCTGTCAGCTAAAACCTGAGATCTACCACGTTAAGAGTCCTGATCTGGTTCAGGAGGAGGGCGTCAGAGAAGAAACGGCTGATGGTCTCTCTTTATGGAGCTTCTCCGTGTGTGTGTGTGTGTGTGTGTGTGTGTGGTGTTTTTCTGCTCAACTTTCACTTCTGCAACTCAAAACTTCAGTCTTCTCACAGCAGACACCCCCTTAATGTTGTTTTTAATAGAAAATAAGAAGTTTTATAAAACTAAAACACAAGTGAGCTTCACTCTGCAGGTGTGACCTGCTCACAGTCTGAAACTAAATCAGAGTTTCTGCAGGAAGCGAAGCACCAGGTCCCGCAGCGTGGTGCGCAGCGGCTCGTTGTTGTCACAGACGATGTGCGTACCGTCGTCCTCCAGCTGGATCAGCGTGTCCTCAGCCTGCAGGTGCAGAATGTGTCCATCTGGTGTCTCCTCCACTTTAACCTCCGTGATCCCGTGCTGAAGAGACAGTTAATCAGAATTAAACTCCCACCAAGTCTGTGCTCAGAGACTTCAGGCAGATAGAAGTCCTGCATTCTCTCTGAATTCAGACCTTCTGTAATGTGACCAGGAAACTTTCCAGGGGCACAGCTCCACTCAGGAGGGGTTTGGGGGCCAAACCCACAGGAGGCTCCTCCACTACCCTCTTCCTCTTCTTGCTGGGGGCCACGGGTGGCGGTTTGGGCACCGACTGGAAACGCACAAGTGGAAATAGTCAGCTGACCTGTGGGGGGGTTTAATGACCTATTATTGCTGCTTTGACCTTCCTGAACCCGAGCCACCGCCGATCACAGCATGAGCCACAGGAAGTGTGTTTCTCAGCAGCAACACTTAGGCGTGGAGTTCCTCAGGGTTCCAGCCTCGTTGTGAATCTGTTCTAAAGAAAAGCGTCTGGATTTCTGAGGCACCAGAACCAGTTTGTGAACAAACGGGCTGCGAGTTCATTTGTTTATTTCCACCTGATGAAGGTGGACTTGAGGTCACAAATCAAATGGACCAAGACTAACGAACCACCAACCTCTTCACAGGTAAGATTACCCTGTAAACAATTACCAAGAGTTTCACATCAATAAAAATAACATTTTTACTGTAGACTAGATTTCAAAGTTCAGAGGGAAGCCATTAAATCAATATAGTGGATCACAGAAGGACAACTTTCATCTGACACAAGCTAACAGCTAGTTCAACTATGGGAGGAAACACACATGTAGCCACCAGGATTTGAACCTGCAACCTTCTTACTATGAGGCAACAGTGCTACCTACCCACTGCTTCACCAGTTACATGAACCAAGAAGAGCTTTCTGAGATTGGAGTTAGAAGCACACTGGTTTATGGGTAAAAGCCTCATTTATCCGTCTGCCCGTCCAACCCAGAGACTTCAGAGAAAACTAACATTTCCAACTGTCAAGCTAGAGCCTCAAATCAATGTCAGCTCAACGAACGAGAACTGTAAAAACAAAAGTTGTCCACTAGATGGGGCTGTGGCAGCCTAGTTGCAGCACAGCCCCAGCCGTAGAGGTCCTGGCTTCTTCGTGGCCGTTTGACCTTTACGTCCTTCTACTGCAGATATAAACCTGACATTAACAGACTCACCTGCAGAGTGTGCTTATTGTCCTTTGAGTGCAGCACTGCGGAGACGGTTGCCACGGAGACACCAGGTTTTACCTCATTGGGCGTCAGTGAGTTGGCGAGCTACAAAAAGAAGAATCACCGTCAGCTGAATATTCAACTTTCATATTTAACTGGAAGCTTTTACTTACTGGAGGTTGGTTTTCCTACTTATAACCAGGAATAGTTCTGCTTCTTACTCCGCTGGTTAACACGTTCTCACAAGATCTCACCTGCAATCCGTCATCCGTGCTTCCACAACCTCTAGGTTAGATTATGCTAATTCCATCCTCCTAGGTACTAGTAAATCCTCCCTTGACTGTCTTCAGACAGTACCGAATGCTGTGGCGCGCTTCTTAAACACGAACAGACGTAGACGCATCACGCCAACTCTGGCTCCGTTCTCTTCAGGGTTCAGTAGATGCTTCTAACGTTTGTCTACGAAGCCCCTCCTCATCTATCTGAGCTGCTCATCCCCTACGTGCCCACTACATCTCAGAGGTCCGCTAACCACCAGCTCTTATGCGTTCCTGACATGCACTGTGAAATCAGAGCGGAGCGGGCTTCCACCTGACGTGAGGCAGGCCTCTTCGTTCATGATCCCGGTGTAAAGCTGCCCTGGAACCACACGATTTGATTGTTGTAATCGATTTGTTGTGTTCGTTTTCTGATTTGTACTTTATTGTTTTTATGCATTCTGTTTTCGTTGTTCACCCGTGCAGCACGTTGGTCAGCTGCCATGCTGTGACTGGATAATAGGCAGCTGCCAGTTACCTCAGGGAGGATGTAAACGCGCTCGTAGCGGCGTCTGAAGGGCAGGTTGAGTACGGAGCAGCGCCTGTAGGGCATGGGAGGGGGCGTCAGCTCCAGCATCAGGTCAGAGCGATGGGACTGGCTGAGGGGGGGCTGGGTGTACTGCTCCGGACACACCACATGGAGGGGCTGCAGGACAAATGCACACATGAATAAACTCAGACTGGTTTATTAGGCACATAGCACATGAATGCGAGCTGTTTAATGACCCACACTTGTGAAGCGCCTTTCAGGGTCAGAGGACTCCAAAGAGCTGTACACTACAGTGCACCATTCATCCATTCACACACTGATGGTGATGAGCTACAGTGTAGCCACAGCTGCCCTGGGGCACACTAACAAGAGGCGAGGCAGCAATACGCCGGCATCCTCTGACCACCACCGGCAGGCAGGGAGAGTTAAGTGTCTTGCCCAAGGACACAACAGCAGAGTTCTCTGCTGGGAACCAGGATCATTCCTACAACCCTCTGACTACTGGTCCAGTAATCAGATTACTCGATTCTATATGTATTCTGAGAAACAGCTGAAGAAAAAGGACGGATTTATGGCGATATGGCTGGCTGCCTTGCTCAGTGGCATAAATCACCAGGCAGGTGGAGTCTTTGATCTCCAGCTGATGGATGGTGACGAGAACGGTCTACCCTTGTTTAGACGAGTGTACATGTCCCTGGTGTGTCAGGACAAACGCAGGCAGCCTACCTGGACCTCCTTCAGCAGTTTGGACACCTGGTGGAAGTTGAGCCGCGTGTCAATCGGACAGTAAACACACTTCATGGCTAACGGCTGATAAGGGGCCAGAGCATCCAGGTAGGAGAAGTCTGGCTCTGATGACAAGAAGAAGACGTTACAGGGTTGTGTTTGTGTTCTTGTTCCAGAACCACACAGAAGCGTCTGTGTGATGGTTACCAGTAAAGATGACTGTATTCAGGCTGGACTTGCCCCACAGCTCCATGAAGTGAACCACATCCCCGAAGCGCAGAGACGGGTGGCCGGTGAAGACCACGCACGGCTGCCGGAACTCGCTGCTGAAGTCCCCGTGGATGCTGGGGTAGTGCTTCAGCTTGTTGGTCTGGATCAGCTGAAACATCAACAGCTAATTTACACCAGCGGTCATCAAAAGGTGGAGCAGGTTCACAAAACACAACCAAGGTTGTTTTTACTAAGTTTGAGGAGATGAAACAAGATGGCTGCCACAGCTATTCAATAATAAAGACGGATAATTCTGATTCTGATCTAAAAGTGAAGGTAGCTGAGAGAAAATAAGCACAAACCCAGAGAGCCCTATGGATTAACAGGAAACGTGCATTTGTTCAAAGAAGGCTGGACTTCATTTAGAAACGTTTGTTCTTCACTGAGAGTTTGAGCAGCTCTCACCTCTGCATGTGGAAACGGCGGCTCTGGCAGATACACCTTTGTTTGTTTATTATGACAAAGCCTGGAAATATCAAGCACAAGTAACCAGAGCGTCACAGAGAGGCTGTGGCTTTCTTCATCGGATTTCAAATCCTCCTGAAACGTGTGAAACAGTGAAGGCTGCTGGGCTACGGTTCAGAGGGGAAGAGGAGCAGCTGCTCACCACTCAGCAAAGATCTGGGAGAACTCCAGCGAGCTGTTGGCTACAGGAGAGATGAAGTAGAAGGGTGTGGTCCCCAGGTTGGCGCTCTCGATGAACTGGTACAGACACTCCAGCAGGTCATAGATGACCCCTGAGGAGTAACACGGTACCAGCACGTTGCCTCCTGCCCGGATCGTCATGGCTGCAGGTCCACACAAACACAAACACACTCATGCTTTGGATTTAAAAGCTGGAAGAACGGTTTACTTTGAGCATCTGAACACACCCAGGTTGCTGCAGAACTCTCCCAGCATGCCATCTGGGTTAGCAGTGGGCATCTGTGTGAGGCCAGTCAAAATGAGAACGTCGCTGTTCTTCAGCGAGCTCTGATCCATCGGCTAGAGGAGAAAACGCATTTCAGGTTTCATCAAGCCTCACGTGTACCATGATCTGATTCAAGCTGAGCTACCTGTGGGTGTGTGGTGAGGAGGGATGACCCAGACACGTAAGACACCTTCTCGTGATGGGACTGGATGATCCAGTTGGAGCTTCCCAACGAGTAGCCAGAGCTCAACGGGGAGACCTGAACAGCTCCAAACAACTCCTGAGGAGGAAAAACTGGTTTCTAGTCCACACACGGCTTTAGGGGAGCAGGAATTTGATCTGAACTTTGTAACAGAAATGATGACCGAGCTGCCTGCAACACTAGTTTGTACTCTAAAACAACCATTCTCTACCAATTTAAATCATGTACAGACAAAACACAAGTGTGACTAGAAAGCTCAAAATGTTCTTCCTTTGTATTTTGTGCTGTTCAAAACAGATGCTGCCCCCTAGTGGTGCTGTGTGGGTCCCACAATGATGAGGACAGTTGGTTCTATCTGAGCAAAAACATGAGCAGTGTGGCTACAGCCTCACATACAAATCTGTATCAATGTCCAGAGAAATGGTGCCAGTAGTCACACACACACACACACACACACACACACACACACACACACACACACACACACACACACACACACACACACACACACCCCCTACTCACCACTTTCTGAGAATAACCGACAAGCTGCACTTTGCTGAGAGCCGAGTTGACCTCATGCATGCTGTAGCATCGTTTCCACGTCCACACGTCAACAGCTTCCTTCAGCGGCCCAGGAAGAACCCTGATGATGCAGGAGCAGCGTTAGAACCCTGATGATGCAGGAGCAGCGTTAGAACCCTGATGATGCAGGAGCAGCGTTAGAACCCTGATGATGCAGGAGCAGCGTTAGAACCCTGATGATGCAGGAGCAGCGTTAGAACCCTGATGATGCAGGAGCAGCGTTAGAACCCTGATGATGCAGGAGCAGCTTTAGAACCCTGATGATGCAGGAGCAGCGTTAGAACCCTGATGATGCAGGAGCATCAGTAGAACCCTGATGATGCAGGAGCAGCGTTAGAACCCTGATGATGCAGGAGCAGCGTTAGAACCCTGATGATGCAGGAGCAGCGTTAGAACCCTGATGATGCAGGAGCAGCGTTAGAACCCTGATGATGCAGGAGCAGCGTTAGAACCCTGATGATGCAGGAGCAGCGTTAGAACCCTGATGATGCAGGAGCAGCGTTAGAACCCTGATGATGCAGGAGCACCGTTAGAACCCTGATGATGCAGGAGCACCGTTAGAACCCTGATGATGCAGAAGCAGCGTTAGAACCCTGATGATGCAGGAGCAGCGTTAGAACCCTGATGATGCAGGAGCAGCTATAGAACCCTGATGATGCAGGAGCAGCGTTAGAACCCTGATGATGCAGGAGCAGCTATAGAACCCTGATGATGCAGGAGCAGCGTTAGAACCCTGATGATGCAGGAGCAGCGTTAGAACCCCGATGATGCAGGAGCAGCGTTAGAACCCTGACCCTGATGATGCAGGAGCAGCGTTAGAACCCTGACCCTGATGATGCAGGAGCAGCGTTAGAACCCTGACCCTGATGATGCAGGAGCAGCGTTAGAACCCTGATGATGCAGGAGCAGCGTTAGAACCCTGATGATGCAGGAGCAGCTTTAGAACCCTGATGATGCAGGAGCAGCGTTAGAACCCTGATGATGCAGGAGCAGCGTTAGAACCCTGATGATGCAGGAGCAGCTTTAGAACCCTGATGATGCAGGAGCAGCGTTAGAACCCTGACCCTGATGATGCAGGAGCAGCGTTAGAACCCTGATGATGCAGGAGCAGCGTTAGAACCCTGATGATGCAGGAGCAGCGTTAGAACCCTGATGATGCAGGAGCAGCGTTAGAACCCTGATGATGCAGGAGCAGCGTTAGAACCCTGATGATGCAGGAGCACCTTTCTATCACAATAACTTGCGTTTGTGTTGTGATTGGTTTATTTTCTACTGCAGTTGAAGTGAACAGATAAAAATATAAAGATGGTATAAATAAACACACGTGACCCTGCCTCCCAGGGGTAACAGCAGGAAGGGATGAGCGTGTCAGTGATCTGATCCTGACTCAAAGTCAACCTCAAGTCTTTCTGGAAGAGATACAATATTCTGTCCAGGATGTCACAGCACTCGTTCTCTGAGGAACCTTTAAAGTTTTCTCTGTGAGTCGGTCTGAAGAGTTAATCAGCCGACAACCTAATATCACCTAAACAAGCTTCTGTCTGTCTCTAGAAACCAGTCTGATTAGACTTTTAACCAAACTGGAACTTAACTGGACTGGAATTAATGAAAAACAAATTATCTTAAATCAGATGGAAGCTTTAGTCTTTTGGACTAATGTGAATTTCTGCCTTTGAACCACTTCAGACCCTTTGGTACAAAACTACTAAATCTGTTCATTAAATTATAGTTTTATTTGTTTTCTGAGGTTTTTGTACTCTTTACTGTAAGAGTCAGAGGTCTAGGACTTTTTCATCTCTGAGTTCTGTTCCAATAATTCCACAAACATCCTTGTGTCAAAGCTGTGACTCCAGCCCAGCAATGTTTTTATTAATTAGTTAGTAGAAAATCGATTTTGCTTTAAAAGTACCAAGATGACCCAAAATACAAGGAGCTCAAATAATCCCACTCCTAACTCTTAGGTACAAATTATATTCAGAAGTCAAATAGATTCATGAATAAATTAACTAATAATGTTCTGTCAGATGGTATCCAGAGGCTGATGTCATGTATTTATTAGTTTGCTTGTTGGCAGGTGGATTTTTACACATATTTTCGTATGTTAGTAATTTTTGACTCTATGATCGAAGACATTAAGCAAGACAATGGTTACAAACTCGGGCTGTGAAAACATTTTAGTCCTATTTTCCTGTTATTATCTGCCTTTAATAAATCAAATATAATGAATCCCAGCTGCTCCCACCTCTGCAGGTCCTTGTTCTTCCAGCAGGTGGCAGACTGGGCTTTAGGAACTCTCTCCATGAAGTTTACCAGCTCCTCCATCAGCAGCCTGAGGAAGCAAGAGCCATCAGGAAATAGGAGATTGAATGTTGCTTCTGTTAGAGCCTAAACCCAACACATTAAAAAGAATCTAATATAATTTATATGTCTGATATATTGAACCGTCACCTTATCGTGGTGGAGGAGTTTGAGTGCCCTAATGATCCTAGGAGCTATGTTGTCTGGGGCACTTAGTGCCCCTGGTAGGGTCTCCCATGACAAATTGGTCTTAGGTGAAGGGTGAGACAAAGACAAAGAACGGTTCGAAGGATCTTTCATGGCGGTTAAAACGAAGAGTCGGAGTACCCGGCCCGGAGGGTTACCGGGGTCCCACCCTGGAGCCAGGCCTGGGGTTGGGGCCCGTGAGCGAGCGCCTGGTGGCCGGGCTTTCGCCCATGGGGCCCGGCCGGGCCCAGCCCGAACCGGATACATGGGCTCGTCCAACTGTGGACCCACCACCCGCAGGAGGAACATGAAGGGTCCGGTGCAATGTGAATCGGGTGGCAGACCAAGGCGGGAGCCTTGGCGGTCCAATCCCCGGACAAGAAAACTAGTTTTTGGGACATGGAACGTCACCTCGCTGGCGGGGAAGGAGCCGGAGCTTGTGGCAGAGGTTGAGCGGTACCGGCTAGATATAGTCGGACTCACCTCGACACATAGCATTGGCTCTGGAACCCGAGACCTGGAGAGGGGTTGGACACTCTACTTTGCTGGAGTTGCTCCGGGTGAGAGGCGGAGGGCTGGGGTTGGCTTTTTGTTAGCCCCGAGACTCTCTGCCTGTGTGTTGGGGTTTACCCCGGGGGACAAGAGGGTAGCTTCCTTGCGCCTTCGGGTCGGGGAACGGGTCCTGACTGTTGTTTGTGCTTATGGGCCAAATATCAGTTCAGAGTACCCACCCTTTTTGGAGTCCCTGGGACGAGTGCTAGATAGTGCTCCATCAGGGGACTCCATTGTCCTGCTGGGGGACTTCAATGCTCACGTGGGCAATGACAGCTTGACCTGGAGGGGTGTGATTGGGAGGAACGGCCCACCTGATCAGAACTCGAGCGGTGTTTTGTTATTGGACTTCTGTGCAAGCCGCAGTTTGGCCATAACGAACACCATGTTCGAACATAAGGATGCCCACCGGTACACTTGGTACCAGGGCAGCCTAGGTCACAGGTCGATGATAGATTTTGTAGTCGTATCATCTGACCTGCGGCCGTATGTTTTGGACACCCGAGTGAAGAGAGGGGCGGAGCTGTCAACTGATCACCACCTGGTGGTGAGTTGGATCAGATGGCAAGGGAACATGCCGCGTAGACCTGGCAGACCCAAACGCATAGTGAGGGTCTGCTGGGAACGCCTGGCAGAAGAACCTGTCAAGACGGTCTTCAACTCCCACCTCCGGCAGAGCTTTGACCACGTCCCGAGAGCAGTGGGGGACATTGAGTCCGAGTGGGCCTTGTTCCACTCTGCGATTGTCGAGGCGGCTGTTGCTAGCTGTGGTCGTAAGGTGGCCGGTGCCAGTCGTGGTGGCAACCCCCGTACCCGCTGGTGGACACCAGAGGTTCGGGGAGCCGTCAGGCTGAAGAAGGAGGCCTACAGGGCGTGGCTGGTCTGTGGGTCTCCGGAGGCAGCAGACAGGTACCGGATAGCCAAGCGGGGTGCAGCAGTGGCAGTTGCCAAGGCAAAATCTCGGGCGTGGGAGGAGTTTGGTGAGGCCATGGAGAAAGACTATCGATCGGCTCCAAAGAGGTTCTGGCAAACTGTCCGGCGCCTCAGGAGAGGAAGGCAGCAACTCGCTCACACTGTTTACAGTGGGGATGGGGAGCTGCTGACGTCAACTGAGGCTATAGTCGGACGGTGGAAGGAATACTTTGAGGAGCTCCTCAATCCCACCAATGCGCATTCCGAGGAGGAACCAGAGCTGGGAGGCCTGGGGATGGACTGTCCGATCTCGGGGGCAGAAGTTGCTGAGGTAGTCAAACAACTACACAGCGGTGGAGCCCCGGGGGCGGATGAGGTTCGTCCTGGGTATCTCAAGGCTATGGACGTTGTAGGGCTGTCATGGTTGACACGTCTCTGCAACATTGCGTGGTCATCGGGGGCAGTTCCTAGGGAGTGGCAGACTGGGGTGGTGGTCCCCATCTTTAAGAAGGGTGACCTGAGGGTGTGTTCCAACTATAGGGGGATCACACTCCTCAGCCTCCCTGGAAAGGTCTACTCCAAGGTACTGGAGAGGAGGGTCCGATCGATAGTTGAATCTCAGATAGAGGAGGAGCAATGTGGTTTTCGTCCTGGCCGTGGAACTGTGGACCAGCTCTATACCCTTGCAAGGGTGATGGAGGGGGCATGGGAGTTTGCCCAACCAATCCACATGTGCTTTGTGGATTTGGAGAAGGCTTATGACCGTGTCCCCAGGGGCACCCTGTGGGGGACGCTCCAGGAGTATGGGGTGGGTGGCTTTCTGTTAAGGGCCATTCAGTCCCTTTACCAGAGGAGCGTGAGTTTGGTCCGCATAGCCGGTAGTAAGTCGGACCTGTTCCCAGTGAGGGTTGGACTCCGCCAGGGCTGCCCTTTGTCACCGGTTCTGTTCATCACTTTTATGGACAGAATTTCTAGACGCAGCCGTGGTGTGGAGTGTGTCGAGTTTGGTGGCAGGAGAATCTCGTCTCTGCTTTTTGCGGATGATGTGGTCCTCCTAGCTTCATCCAGCTCTGACCTTCAGCTCTTGCTGGGTAGGTTCGCGGCCGAATGTGAAGCGGCTGGGATGAGGATCAGCACCTCCAAATCTGAGACCATGGTTCTCGACCGGAAAAGGGTGGCTTGCCACCTCCGGGTCGGGGGAGAGGTCCTACCTCAAGTGGAGGAGTTTAAGTATCTCGGGGTCTTGTTCACGAGTGAGGGTAGGAGGGATCGGGAGATCGACAGGCGGATTGGTTCGGCGTCTGCAGTGATGCGGACGCTGAGCCGATCTGTCGTGGGGAAGAGGGAGCTGAGCCAGAAAGCCAGGCTCTCGATTTACCGGTCGATCTACGTCCCAATCCTCACCTATGGTCATGAGCTTTGGGTAATGACCGAAAGAACGAGATCGCGGATACAAGCGGCCGAAATGAGTTTCCTCCGTAGGGTGGCCGGGCTCAGCCTTAGAGATAGGGTGAGGAGCTCGGACATTCGGGAGGGACTCGGAGTAGAACCGCTGCTCCTCCGGATCGAAAGGAGCCAGTTGAGGTGGTTTGGGCATCTGGTCAGGATGCCTCCTGGACGCCTCCCCGGGGAGGTGTTTCGGGCATGTCCTGCCGGCAGAAGGCCCCCGGGTCGACCCAGGACACGTTGGGGAGGTTACATCTCCAATCTGGTCCGGGAACGCCTTGGGGTCCTGCCGGAGGAGCTGGTGGACAAGGCCGGGGAGAGGACGGCCTGGAGCTCCCTAGTTGGGATGCTGCCCCCGCGACCCGGACCCGGATAAGCGGAGGAAGACGAGAGACGAGAGATATATTGGTGTCTTAAGTCACAACAAAGCTGCTCCTCAGATTTACAGAATAGAGCAACCTTTGACGAAGCACCTCCCAAAACACGCCTCGCAGTTATTCTGCATCTTATAAAAAAACAATAACAATTAAATGTTAAGCCTGGAAAACCAAGTTTTACACAAATAGCTAATCAAATATTTTTCAATCCAAGCAACAAAACCTCTTGAGGGGTTTTGATAAGAATTTGGGTTTGTAGCTGAGATTTTTTACAAAAGCATAAAAAATGTTTACCTGCCAATCTGCAGGGTGGGCTCGGTGGCATACACCGTTCCTGTGAAGCCCGTGTGTTCAGTGATGTAGGGCAGCGCCATCATACAGTGGTAGTTGGAGATGAGAATCACATCAATGGTTGACAGGTCCAGCAGTTCTCTCTGTGATTAGTATTAGTAGGGCAGACCTCAGGTGTAGTTCTGTTCATCACAATCTGTTCCTACTGTCACTGATTACATTTACAAACAGCAGAGAAGTAAGATAACTGTAACTCTCCCACTTTATTTATTTAGATTAGGAAAATATGCCTGTTTTATCACAACAGTAATCTGGTTCAACTACCTCTGGGAGGCAGAACTCTGGCTGGGAGTCCACGAACACCCTTCCAGCACACTCCTTCAGCTCCTGTAGAGACAAACATCGTATTTGCATTTCATTTGCATGGCTACATCTTATGCTGGAGGGAAAATATTCTCAACTAAATGTACCTTTTCCAGATTTACCGTTCCATCTTTTGAGGTCCAGCCTGTGAGCTTGGAGAGCCTTGGGCTGATGTTTTAGAAGATAAAATCATCATGAGTCTTTACCTAACGCCATTCACACATATGGACGATGGTATCTCACCTGTGTACCAGAGGAAGGGGAAGAAAATTGAGGACTGAGGTCGTGTCCAGTCCACAGTCCAGCATGATGGTGGTGGACTTAAACTTGAGGACATTGCAGGGCAATGTGGGGTGACCAGACAAACAATACTGCAAAAGAATAAACACCGAGAGCATCTTTATGACACAAACACAGATCATCAAAATAATATTTTAATTTGTACTTTCATTTTATCCTAACTGCAAACAAAACTTATTTCATTAAGTAGTCGTGCTGCTAGCAGCTCCACTATAACCACAGGCTGGTTTTAGCTAGCTAGCAAACACGGTTATCTGGATGCTTTCTGTTTTTAGAACTTCTAACAAACTTGGTTCGCACACGCATAATATGCCTCATAAAATCCGAGCTCTCTACTCACCAACTTCATTTTAACTTAATGACGAAGTAATAAATGTGTCCAAAACAGCCGGCTTCGCTAACACGCCATCATTTTGGTTTGTTGATGCTCGGCTGTTTTCCTGAGAGATTTCTCTCTGCCGCCCTCTTCCGACTCGGAGGACAACCTTCCTCTCGTCGAAATGGCTATGCTAATGGATTAAATTAGCCAGTTCACGTTAATGTGTTCACAAATATAGTATACGTGTTTATAACGGTTGTGTAGGACATAAAGTGACTCGCATATTGATAAAAAATAGTAAAGAACAATATGAGCTGACTGCTAGAGGTTAACAAATAGGAGAAGGCGGATGGGTCACGTGGTCTTGTTTCGCTGTCAGCCACAAACAGGTTTAAACGCTGTGAGTCACACGGGTGCAGGTTTATTATTGGGTTTCTGAGGAATGTCATTCTGATGACACATCTCTGATGTAGCAACACGACCGCCCATCGCACGTCTGTACTTCCGGTAGACCTGGTTTTAAGTTGTTATTCCAACATGTTTCCGTAGCTAACAGCATCGACACGCCGGGTCGACAGTCTGAGTGGACAAGGAGGACAGGTGGGTAACATCAGTCACTGGTTTTACTAGTTAATTAAAACATCTGCTAATGTTGAGTAAACAAGAAAAGTTAAGGGGCAGTTTGACATTCGTCTTTAAAAAGTTTAAGAAAATCTCTGTTGATCTGAAACAGTTTAGACCGTGAGTGTGTTGTGACCTTTGGTCATAATGCTGATAATACATAACAGGACGTCATTTTCCAGTAAGGTCATGTCATGCTGCGTTTTCTAATGAGGTGTGTGTGTGTGTGTGTGTGTGTGTGTGTGTGTGTGTGTGTGTGTGTGTGTGTGTGTGTGTGTGTGCACAAACATACACACCAGGCTCGCTGGCCATGGGGAACTCTTGCACTCATCTAGGGATCCCTCCTGCTAAGGGTCCCAACGCTGTGGGATGCACAGACTTCATGATGGATCACACTGCAAAGGTGAGATGAGAAAACACGCCCACACCTGACTAATCTGTGTAGGTGTCAGATTTGCTTAGGCAAACTGGTCTCTATTCGTTTTTCTACTGAATTGCATTTTACTTTGTTATTTTACTTTCACCTGGCTGTCTGGAAAAGAATCATGATCGAGATATTTAGGCTGAGATGTTCAGAGGTGTGTGTGCGTGTGTGTGTGTGTTGCCAACAGGGCAGCTTCTTCAGACTTTACTATCCGTGCCAGGAGACAGAAAAGGCAGAGAAACCTGACTGGGTCCCGTGTAGAGAGTATTTTAACGGCCTGGCAGACTTCATGAAGATCAACAGGAGTCTCAGTAAAGGGATTTTCGACCACCTCTTTGGTGAGTAAACCGCCTCTGAAATACGCAACAGAATCCAACACGTTTTTATTTCATTTGCATTTCATCTAGTTCTCACCTGACTATTCTTCATTGACACTAAACCAATAGAATGACCTTTACAGAGATATTTAAAGCAAATTCAAATAGATCCGCTTCTCTGCTGCTGTTTAAACGTGAGCAGCGCTTACTGAGGTCAGCATTCATCTCCTTACAAATTTCTTTTTTTTTTTTTTGTAAAACTCAAATATTTATCACCAGCTGAGTGAGGAGGAAGGTGGATTCTCTGAAAAGGGCTATATAAATCTAATCCATCATTATAAATGGTGGTAATACACCAAGCCCTGTTCTAGAGAGATGCAGGAACTAATGAACCCAGAATGTCTAAAGCAGAGGTACGGGTGAGAGTAAATGCTTCTGAGACCAAAACTTCTGCTGAGCAAATCAAACCTCAAAGACCATCTCACATTTACCAACAACATCTTGATAATCCCAAAGACCTCTGAGAGAAAATGTTCGATGAGAAAAGTGTTCTGGAAGGCGTGTGCACCATACACGGTGGTGGTAGTGGGATGGTCTGGGGCTGCTCCAGGACCACCTGCTGCGACTGACGGAACCCTGAATTCTGTTGTAGCAGAGCGTTCTGAAAGAGAACATTTGACCTTTTGACCTTAAACAAGACGTTCCTGCTGGAAAACCCCCTGTGGCTGAATTCAGACAATCCAGTAAAGAAGAGAGGGACCACATTCCTCCACTGGATGCGAGACCAGTTTGACAGGTTAGAGGTCAGTTACTCTGAAATATGACAAGAAAAAGAAATCTGTAAGGAGGTAAATACGTTTTCACAGCACAGCAAACATGTCTGACCACAACAGCTCTCAGGACAGACCAAGCTGATGTTCTCCTCGTGCCTCTGCCACACACATTAGGATAGTAAGCTGTACTTTACACTCTTCAGCTCCTGACTCTGCAGCAATAATGTAACACTTGAGACGGGAAGAAAGCAGAAGTGGTTTGTTTCATTTGTGCAAGGTCATTTTCACACATCATTCTTGTTGTTCAGAAGGGTAACGTGAAGGTTTCTGGTTTATTTCAGGTTCTTTTAAGATCCCAGCCTACATGGACGCTCCATTCAAGTCGAATGAAAAGTGCCCTGTGGTCATTTTCTCCCATGGCCTTGGTGCCTTCAGGTACACGCTAGTTTCCCCCCTGCTGTCACATCGACTCATTACTGACACTAAAACCAGCTTTATTTGTGTTACTTAGGACTTTGTACTCGGCGATATGTGCAGAACTGGCTTCACGTGGATTTATTGTGGCATCAGTAGAACACAGGTGGGATTTTCTTTTTGTTTTTAATTATTTCAGAAATAAAAATGTAAACTAATCTGTTCTTTTTGTGCACATATTTGGATGAAACGCTAGTGGAGCAGAACCAAACGGGAACTGTAAAACTAAAAAAAATGTCATTTTGAGGGAATTCGAGCTCAAAGTTTGCCAATCAAGCCATGACAAAAGGTTAGTCTCCTCTGCGAGTGACAGTGTTAATCCGTGGAGTAGGAGTGGAAAGGGTGTGCAGACAATGGTACAAACCAGGTCATCACATTTCTTTTCAGTATAGAGACAAGAGGAACGTATGGAGATGAAGAGAATAGCCACGGCTGGTCTGTCGTTGGTCACACAGACCGAGGCGTATGAGAGTCATGTTACTCTCGTCTGTGTCATCAGACAGACCATGTTGCTGTGGTGATGTTCTTGTATTCCACCAGAACCATTGGGTTTTCATTGGACCTTTGGGAACAAGTCTGAACACGGCGACCTCCACAGTCTGGCATAGGTGCAGATTGTTAGTGATTTCTTTGCATTCGTGTGAAACAGGATGTTTCAGTAGAACGTGCTAAAACCAGCGCTCTGGTTTCATAAAGGAAGTAGTTTCCAACACTTTAGCTGTTACTTATTTTCCTCGCAAATGCATTAATTTCCGCTCTAGATCAGAATCTCCTTGATAGTAATTACAAGAGCCGAGTCCACCACCAGTTTGGGCTTTTCTTCCATGCTGACACAGAATTTTTGTCATCTTCTCCTCTTCTCAGAGACCAGTCTGCCTCAGCGACGTATTATTTTAGTGAGAAACCAGCATCAGAAAGAGCCAAAGGCAATTCTCCAAAAACATCTGCCTCGGCTCCAGAGGACTTATTAATGGAGTGGATGTACTACAGAGCTTTACGGCATGGAGAGAGGGAATTCCCACTCAGAAACCAGCAGGTAAGGAGGATTACGGAGGGTAAGGTTTAACACGAGTTAGAAAACACTGCTGCGTCCTGCACAAAGCTTCGCCATTTCACTTTCAGAATCAGAATCAGAAGTTTTTATTGCCATATGTGTGCCAAGTCACAACATTAGGAAATTGCTGCGGTATTTTGGTGCAGAAGGTAAGATAGAAAAAAATTAATTAAGAGATAAGCAAATATAAGAACTAATAAAACACTCATGATAAAATTATTAATGTAAAAAGTGGCAAGAATTAGAGAAGCAGCTATCTACTCCGTGTAGGTATTAATCTGAGTGTTTGTTGAATGGTTCAAGCACAGCATCAGGTCACGTGACTGGGACCAATCGATTTGGGTGAGCTGCCCTAGGATTTTCATTCAAAAGTCCAACTGCAGAGGGGAAGAAACTGTTTTTGTGGCGAGAGGTTCTGGTCCGAATGGATCTGAGCCTTCTGCCAGATGGGAGCGAGTCGAAGAGACTGTGTCCAGGGTGAGACGAGTCAGCTATTATCCGACCTGCACGCTTCAATGTCCTAGAGGTGTACAGATCTTGAATGGAGGGGAGTTTGCAGCCAGTGACCTTCTCTGCAGAGCGCACGACACGCTGCAGCCTCTTCTTGTCCCTGGTGGTAGCTCCAGCGTACCACACGGTGATGGAGGAGGTGAGGATGGACTCGATGATAGCGGTGTAGAAATGCCTCATCAACTGTGGTGATAGGTTGAATTTCTTCAACTGCCTCAGGAAGTACATCCTCTGCTGGGCCTTTTTTCTGATGGTGGTGATGGTGGGCTCCCATGTGAGGTCCTGGGTGATGGTGGTGCCCAGGAAGCGACAGGAGTCCACCATCGTGATGGGAGTGTCAGACAGGTTTAAGGGGGCGATGGGGTGTGTGTGTTTCCTAAAGTCCACAACAACCTCCGCTGTCTTCTGGGTGTTTAGCACCAGGTTGTTGTGGCTGCACCAGGACACCAGACATTCAGCCTCCATTCTGTAAGCGGACTCATCCCCATCAGAGATGAGTCCGATGATGGTGGTGTCGTCAGCAAACTTAATTAGTTTGACAGACTCATGCTTGGAGGTGCAGCTGTTGGTGTACAGGGAGAAGAGCAGAGGGGACAGAACACAGCCCTGTGGTGAGCCGGTGCTGATGGCCCGGTGGTCCGAGACATTCTTCCCCAGCCTGACTTGTTGTTTCCTGTCTGTCAGGAAGTCAGTGATCCACCTGCAGATGGGGTCAGGCACGTTCATCTGGGACATTTTGTCTTCGAACCAAGTTTGTCGTTTCAAAGAAAGAAAATGAACTTGCACCATCAGTAAAAGCTGCTTTTATTCCAGGTGAAACAGCGAGCGGATGAGTGCATCCTGGCTCTGGATAAACTCACGGAAATCAATGCAGGTGCAGCTGTTCGCAACGTTCTGCACACGCCGTTTGACTGGACGACACTGGAGGTAACAGCTGCAGCTTTTCAGCAGGCGTCAAAAAATTCTGATGTTCAGGAGAGGAAATAAGTTTCTAACTAAAGGCAATGAACAAATAATACTGTTGAAGTTATAGGTCAAATGTTTTTTATGTTGAAGAGTTTAGGTAGCAAAGGTGCAGAGATGATGTTCCTCTGAAATGTTCAAGACACGCTTCCCTCATAATAATAATAATAATAATAATGCATTTAATTTATAGGCGCCTTTTAAAACCCAAGGTCACCTCGCAAAACATGATAAAACTTATACACAAATAAGAATAAGATAATTTAAACAATAAAATTACAAAAAGTATGCTATAAATGTCAAAGAGTTTGTGGGCTAGAGAGTGTAAGCCAGGTTGAACAGGTGTGTTTTGAGTTTGGATTTGAATGAGAGGAGGGAGTCAGTGTTTCGGATGTCAGGAGGAAGTGAGTTCCAGAGCCGAGGAGCAGAGCGACTGAAGGCTCTGTTTCCAACGGTGGTGAGATGAGCAGGAGGAACCACAAGGTGGATGGCAGAGGAAGACCTGAGGAAGCGAGATGGGACAGCAACATGGATGAGATCGAAGAGGTAAGGAAGGGCGAGACAGTGGATACATTTGTAGGTGAGAAGCAGGATTTTGAATGAGATTCTGTGTTCAGTAGGCAGCCAGTGGAGACGCTGAAGAACAGGGCTGATGTGATCTCTATAGGGGGTACGAGTGATGATCCGTGCAGCAGCATTTTGGAGGAGTTGGAGCCGATGGAGGGATTTATGGGGGAGACCAAAAAGGAGAGAGTTACAGTAGTCAGTCCTAGAAGTGACTAGGCTGTGTACGAGGATGGCTGTAGCATGAGGAGTGAGAGAGGGATGGAGTCGGTTGATATTGCATAAATGAAAGTAGGCTGAGCCAATGATGTTGTTGATGTGGGCTTTGAATGATAAAGTGCTGTCAAGGATGACTCCAAGACTCTACATGGGGGGAAGGAAGGATGGAGGAATTTTCGATGTTAATTGATATGCTGGGGGATATGTTCAGCGTGGAGGGTTTGCCAATGAGTAGAATTTTGGTTTTATTGCTGTTGAGTTTGAAGAGAAGCATGATTTTATCTCAAGGAGACAGCTGGATAGGGAGACTGGAGGGAAGATAGCATCGGGTTGAGAGGAGATATAGATTTGAGTGTCATCTGCGTAGAAGTGGAAATTTATCTTGTATTTGCGAAAGATATGGCCAAGTGGAAGAATGTAGATGATAAATAAGAGAGGTCCAAGGACAGAGCCCTGGGGAACACCGGCAGAAACAGCAACAGGGTGAGAAGAAAAGGATTTTAATTGAACAGACTGAAATCGGCCAGTGAGATAGGAGGAGAACCAGGCGAGAGCAGTGTGAGTGATACCAAGGGAAGCTAACCGGTTAAGAAGGGTTGAGTGAGAGATGGTGTTGAAAGCTGCACTAAGATCAAGAAGGATGAGTAGAGAAAGAAAACCGGAGTCAGCTGCCATGAGAAGGTCATCAGCTAAGTCTGAGTGGTGGTTTTGCTTGGGTTGACTCTGAGTTCTGTTCCTAGTGGGCTTCGCCCTTTAAGGATCACTATTGGGTCATTTCTCTCTGATGTGCAGCTGTAATGTGGGCAACTTCAGTTCCTGGTAACGGTGCACCAGTATGTTGTTCCACTTACGAGGCATCTACGCCTACTGGAGCCCACTGCAAATGTATTGATTAAATAAGTCGCCCACACCTTTAAAGCTTCTGAAGAACATGGACACAGATGTAAACGCAAGACATAAACATCAAACGGCATCATCATCCTCTTTTCCTTTTGGCATTTGCCTTCAGGGGTCACCATCCAGCTCCATCATCTACCTGTCCTCTCTCTCACTACATCCTGTATTTCTCCTACCTGGTGGCTCCAAATGACTTAAGCCTCCTCCTGCTGAAAGTCTACCTCCCTTCCTCCTTGCTGCATGTCCAAACGGTTGCAGTAAAGAAGCAGCAATTACTAAAGTTAATGCACAAATCGGAATGCACGATGCTAAAGAGTTCCCCGACAGTCTACGGTGAAAAGGTGGATTGAATAAAGATTTTGATTTCGCTGCAATCCAGCAGGATTAATGTTGACTAAGACGTATGAAAACACGGTAGTTAGGAGCTCATTTTCTTATTTCCAGGCGTTTATTGTAAATATTTAGTTTGTTTCAACATACTCTTAACAGAATTGTGCTTGGCTCAACAACCCTCTCACCTGAGCTCCTGCTACGTTGTCATTTCATATGAAACACAAATGTGTTTTATCCATCCTGGGGTCAGCGAGTCGTAAACTAAAGTAATGTTCGTTTTACCTTGGCCAACAGAACTCCATGGATCTGTGTCGGACTGCAATAATGGGGCATTCCTTTGGAGGAGCCACAGCTATTGAAGCTCTCTGCAAAGAGGTTAAATTCAAGTAAGCTTGTTTTTTTTTTTTAAATACAAACATTTTAGTAGCAAACAAAGGGCGGAGACTCAGAGTAAGGTTCCATAAGTGATCCGTTGTTTTAGCATTTCTGTTCTAGTGAACATACTTTATATACAGGTGTGCACATGAGTGGTCTGCAGGTGTGCATGCGCTGGCAAAATTAACAATGCGCACCTGAAAAAAAGCTGCAGCATGCATTTGCGCCCCTAAGATTTTGTGGAGGAAGGAAGACATTTCTGTAGCATTTTAAAGATGTCCAAGAAGCAAGCAGTTAAGTCATTATTTTGGTGTTCCTCCGCCTCCAAAAAAAACGTCAGACTGAGTCGGAACCGCTAAAGAAAAGAGTATTCGCGGAGAAGTGGTTGCAGGAGGTCGGCTGGCTTCAAACAAACGATGAACGCACAGAGATGTGGTGCAGATTCTGCCGTGAAAATCCCGCCCTGGCTGACAAAAACAGAGCCTTTTACATAGGCACTAAAAACTTCAGTCATCCAGCGTTTGATAAACATGCTAACAGCAGAGAACGTCAGAAAGTTGTCCTCTGCTGTGTGTGAACTGGAGGAAGCCAGTCAGGGTAGTGAGGAGGATGATGAGAGTCTAGAAATAAAAACAGCATTTATGCCATTTTAAAAACTTCAGTGCTCTGAAATAGGAATTTTGTTAAGGGCTTTAAAAGCGGGTTCAGAAAATGGATGGATGGCTTTAAAATGTATTTGATTTGATTTTTGTTATCACAAAAGCAGCTGTTTACACGTTGTGTTCTACATTCAAACAATTCAGTCATGTTATTTGAAAATTAGAAGGTTGAAGTTGAGCTGGCAATATGTACCTGTTGTACTTATTGTTGTCGGTCAAAATGAAAATATGTTGCATCATCAACGCGTTGCTCTGTTTTGTTCCTGTTGTGAGTTGGGTTAAGAATTAAGTAAAAATGTGAGGATCAAGCAGCAACCATAGGTTCTCCCCTGAGTACCAACCCAAAAATATTACGTGCACCTGTTTATATACAACATGCATGTAAAGCTAAACTTCAACAGCACCACCCATACACAACTAAAAAGCAGAGGTTAATGTGAGGCTACCTGCTGAAAACCTTGTTCTTCTGTCAGGTGTGGAGTCGCTCTGGATGCCTGGATGTTCCCTTTGAATGATGAGATCTTTCCTCGAGTCAAGCAGCCAATTTTCTTTATCAACTCCGAGAAGTTCCAGTGGGCGGGGAACATCGGCCGCATGAGGCAGCTGGACTCCGCCGTTATTCAGAGGAAGATGATCACCATCAGGTACAACAAACGAGACAGTTGTTGAACACTGCTGAGGATGCCACATCATCTACTTCATTTCTTCAGAGGGACAGTCCACCAGAGCTTCCCAGACTTCACCTTCCTGACAGGAAACTGGATTGGGAAGCTGATGAAGCTTAAAGGAGAGATCGACCCAGAACTGGCCATAGACCTCTCCAACAAAGCAACCTTAGCATTTCTACAGCGCCACCTTGGTAAGAAAAGTAAGACTCCATCAGTCAGAGTAAATGCGAGGTTATTAAAGACTCTCCTGCATTTTCCCAGGTCTGGAGAAGAATTTCAATCAGTGGGATCTTCTGATTGATGGGGAAGATAAAAACCTCATTCAAGGAACAAATGTAATCCTGTTTCAGTCTGCCATCTGAACTGCTGCTGTGTCTCAGAGACAGAAACATCTGATGGCCAGCTCTCTCCTGGGGCTCAGGAAGCCCAAGTCTGAATAAGACCACGGAGGACCCATCAGAGAGCACAGACGGTCTACCTCATGAGCAGGAGGAGCACAGCACCAAGTGTAAGGCTGCTTATATTCTAAGGCCTGACCGTTGGCCTTACGCAGCTGAACATCTCTTTTTCACTGTTGATAAAAATGTTTAGCTGCAGTTCCTCAAAGAATTTTTGTACCATTTTAATAATGCATAGAAAACCAATTCATTTAAACAAATCTGCATCTCACTGGATACATGATTGCCGTGTGATTATGTCATGAGATATTTTAGTAGTAATTTAACAATGTGCCCTGACCACGGTTAGACTGCGTTTAAAGGTTGGATATGGAACACAAGCACCAAAGCGACATCTAGTGTGTGGAGGTTGTAGTTGCAGCTTTCACTCTGAACAAAGTTCATCTTCCTTGAATCATAACTTTACAACTTTACAGGTTGATATAATCAAATGTGTTGAATGAACAAGATGTTTACATCCCAGAGTGTTTGAATAATATGTGCATTTAATCAATGATGTGTTAAAAAGAATAGTTTTCCTGCAATGATTCAGTTCAGATCTTAATCTACACCAGATCAGTGTTTGTTGATTTAACAAGTTGATCTATCACTATACTCCTACATCATAAGATGAATATTAAGGTTTTAACGTTCACTTTACATAAATGTGTAAAAAACAAAAAAACAAATCACACATTCACTCAGATACTCAGAGGTTAATTCTTGGTGTGGAGGGGAAATGTTTCTTACACATGTGTGTGTGTGTGTGTAAAGTTGTAAAGTCATTTATGATTCTAGTTAGATGAGCTTTATTCAGAGTGAAAGCGCAGAAAGCCTCGTCTTCCAGCACTTATACTTATTTGGTTGTGAGGTTGTAGATCTTTTGAGTTTCTCGTTTGGAGGCCAGACGGATGTAACCATCCCGGGATGTGTGACGCAGTTTGTGTCTGGAGATTAAAAGTTAATTTCTGCTCATTGTTGATGTAAATACTTGACCTTTGGATACGCTACGCAACAATAGAACAAGGTTTCCAGCCACTGGGATACCAGGTTTGCTGCAGATACAAGAAATGTTTCATTCGGGTCCGTTTGTACTAGGCTTCACCTAAACACGTTCTGGTTTTAGATCTTTTATGGTCGCTCCTCTTCTGAGGATAACATCTTCTGGGCTCAGAAGCAGGTGCTAGACTTGTCGAGTCTAGGACCAGCCTCGCTGTGCTGAGCTGTTTGGCCACTGAAAATTAATATTTTATTATTTTTAATTAAAGTGTATTTTTTTAAACAGGAAATACTATAACTTCATTCTGCATACCTATGAACATCCTGTGGAGGTATTATTTTTTTAAATATTGCTTTTTATTAAATTGTTCCATATTCAACCTTTAATTAGCTTTGCAAAGGTAAAATTAGTAAATAATCCTAATAGACCACTTGTTCAAGCATCACAAAACACTATAAAGCTGCAGAAAAAAAAACATGTGCCTTAGCTCTCAGTTCATCCTTACTGAGCAACGTAAAAACTTTTAGAAATTTACTGTCTGAATAACCTGCATGTTTTATAGAAGTCCAATAAATTAGCAATGAAAACATGTAAATGCTTTATGCTTCTGCTTCCAGCATTGTCTTTGGTAAGCTGGTTAAAACATGCTGTTCAATGTATAGATGCAGATAAAACGATGGTCTTTCTGCGAAAGAAAAACCCACCTCTCACCGAAAGCTTCTCAGGCCACTACTCTTCACCCCACTGACCCATGACTGCACACCAACATAGCACAGCAACCTCTTCGTTACGTTTGCAGATGACACCAACAACAACGATCCCCACCCACCCCTTCCAAGTACATACATGTACAGAGGCTGGTCAATAAATTAGAATATGACTAAGTTAATTTATTTCAGTAATTCTATTAAAAAGTGAAACTTATATATTATATATTTTCATTACACAGAGACTGATATACAGTGGCTATGGAAAGTGTTCAGATCCCATTGCCGCTGTAACGTAGACAAGGCAATGTCTTTGTCCACAGCCTGCTTCATCAGTGCGCCACCCATGACTGCAGGAGGAAGCAGTAATGAAATATCTCCTGATTAATCCTTATCCACTCCAAGATGTCACATCTCTACAGGAAACAACACTTTTATCTAACTCCCTTTTAATAAAAATATCTTATTCTGGCTCATTAAAATGATTTCTTTAGGGTTAGGGTTTACATTACTATTATTAATAAACAATGTTTTATCTAAAGTGTTATAATGTATTGACTGTCAGTAATGAATGAATGAAAATAATTGCTTATTCTGGAAAAAAATGCTTTATTTCAGATTCTCTGGTCTGATGAGACCAAGATAGAACTTTTAAAGGTATTCAATAAAATGTAATATTCCATAAAATTGTGGATTATCAATATTTTTTACCTTTAATATTCAATTGATAGGTAATTTAGGTATTCCAGGGAAACGCTTTATAATTTGACAGGCCAAAATTATAGTTCATAAAAATCAATTTACTATAGTTTACTACTAGGATGATGCCAAACAAGTGATTATAAATGATGAGTTAGGGTGATATCAACTGAGACATTGAATGAGCAAGGTTGAAATATGAGTATTTTTTTTTACATCAAAGCTAACTAGAAAAATTGCATTTATTGCACAAATGCTGTTTGAATGCTGGATAGCTGAAACTGTAAGCTGAAGCTGCTGAACAGCTGAACTGAAGCTCAAACTAAATTGCTATAGTTATGCAGTGGCGCGACGGTTAGAGCTGTTGCCTCGCATCAAGAAGGTTCCAGGTTCGCCTCCCAGCTTGGGACATCTCTGAGTGGAGTTTGCATTTTCTAAGACTTTTCTTAAGACTTTTTTAAAAGCTTCATAAGACAAGGAGGCTGAAACGATCTATTCTAAATGGCTAAAATGAAATAGGTGCATTTACAGCAAACAGCCACCAGAGGGCAGCATTTCCCACCTTCTCTTTATTCCTTACTGCTGTTTGTGGCCACCGGAGGGCGCAAATTTCCCATTCTTTTAAGGAAAAAAAACAGTGGAAGAAATTAGTGTTTCTACTAAGGAAGTCTTTTATCTTTACCAATACAGGTTCATCCCCTTCAAATCCTCCTCCTTCTCCTTCATAATATAATTCCCAAAATGTTTATTAAAAACATTAAGATTTTTTAAAACTTCATTTTGACATGGAGGCTGAAATGTTCTAATCTAAATGGGTCAAACTGAATTGCTATAGTCTTTGCTGTGGCGCAATGGTTAGAGCTGTTGCCTCACATCAAGAAGGTCTCGGGTTTATATGAAGTATAAATTTTGGTCAGTTTTCAGTACATTTTTGTCCTCATTTTTATGAAGAAAGACAAATCAAGGGTTGCAGTAAGAATGGAAACAGAAGATGCACTCAAACTAGTTTATTATGCAAACACAAAAATGTTTAAAACGTGTCCACAGCAGACAACTATTTGTTGCATACCACAAGAATGAAACTGAAATAAGCATTTTAAAAGTTTTAACAACTTGAACTTAGTCAATTTATGTGGCAGTGTTTTAGAACATATGCAGAACAGTGGACCACGATAAACTTCTACGCTTTGTACAACTCTTACAATACAGTATTGTAACTAATGTTTTTAATGCAATAATGAAACTAAATATTAGATTAAAAAACTGACCTGCATTAAATCAAGACTGGCATTGAAAGGTAAGAACAAACTAAATAACACAAACTGATCTGACTTACAGTCAAACTTAATGCACTTGAACAACTTGAAACAAAAATAAAAGAAGTCACTCCTCACACTGGTCTTCAGCCAGAAGATCATCCCGTGTATCTTTTATGACCAGAGAGAGGTGAGTGATCTTAGATAGCTGCGCCTCTAAAATAGAAACAACATATTAGAGACTTGATGCAACTCATGCTAATACATAAAAGACTAAAACAAATGAATAATACATTTTATTTGAAGCGCCTTTCAAAGAACTCAAGGTCATTGCACAATCAGGGTAAAATAAAACATTCAAACACTAGAAAATCTAAAACCCAATTAAAACATCAGATAAAACACCTATAACAGTTAGTACATAAGCTATTTTATGAGTTTTGAGATTAGCCTGGAATTAGTGAAGGCTAGTCATTGTAACAGAATGAAATGAGTTTTTCCCCTCTTCTGCACAGGACTAGTCTGCATGAGATATGGTCTCAAGGTCTCATGCATTCCTTCTAACCTGCTTATTTTCAGCTCAACAAAAGAATGAAGAATGAACTCTTTTCTTTTAATTAATCAAAGAACTCTATTTTAATAAAGCTAATCCAACCAAGTGTTAGTCAATAAATAAGATGTGACCGATCTGTGAAATCAAAATATTAATTACTTTATTATAATCCTATAGAATATAAAGGTACTATGACTTTAAATGTTCCAGTTAGACTGATTTCCCGTAGCGTTAAGACATGACACATTACTTCACTGATCCAATCAGAATCTGACAGATCTGACGGAGGCGTGGTTTTGACGGTGTTTGGTAAAACCTGTCAACTTTTCATTCGACCATAAACCATAACATCCAAAGTATAGAACTATGCCCACTTCATCTCTAACGCCAGTTCTAAGTGTTCCAGAGCAGTTGTCGGAGTGGCCAATCCGTAACTTTCCTCTTTAACCGAAAGAACCAATGACAAGCTGGAAAATTTGTTGCTGTTCGAACTGCTGCAGCAGTACCTTTCAGAATAAAAGCTGAACCATCAAGACCCAGGCTCGGGTCTCACCAGATGCCAATAAAATTGTCGTGACCCGGAAGTATCTCAAGACGGGTGGTCGGCTGCCGTGGCTGTTTCTACAGGCTCCTGCTCCATAAGGTCAAACTGGACCTTTACACCTCCTGATCTAGACGGGGACTTCCACTCAGGGTATGTAGACCGACAAAAATGGCGTCGAATGTGTTTATGAATCTCCTAATCAAAGCTTAACGCGAAGACATCACCTTCAGTTCCCATCAGAACTAATCGCTTCTTCGGATTTGCTGGGTCTGAGTGACATCACACATCATCCATTCACCGTCTCATACACCTTAGTTACACCATACATTTAGTGCTCAAAGTCAGTCTAGTTTAATTTGTTAGTAATAAAGTTCTTAACTTTTCAACTTGACACTCTCTCTTCTGTTGTCTCAGTGAATACAAAGCTGTTATCTAATCCCTGCATTAAAAAGTTCTAATCTTCTGGTTTAAATAATCTCACAGATCCGTAAGGTGGATTTCATATTTCTATGGAAAGCCTTATGGCTTAATAAATAGCATGTAATTTAAATCATTACATCATGTTCCTTAGGTGAGCAGGTAATGAGTTCCATAGGTAGGGTGCCGATCTGCTAAATGCTCGGTATCCCATCATGACAAGACGTGCTAGTGGATTATTTAAGTTGATGGAAGCAGATCATCTGAGCATGTGAGAGGGTTTAGTGACTTGTAAAAGAAAAGAAAGAAAGCAATTTTTTAGATAGCACCTCTCAAGATAAAAATACTGAGGTGCTTCACATTAACAAAAAAAAAACTTAAAATACAAAAAAAGATTTAAAAAATTTTTCTGAAATATGTTCTAATTGAGAAAATAAAACTGTAATAAAAAATTATGTAAGGAAAGGGAGAGAAAATGTATAGGAAAGAGGGAAATCAGTGGATCGCAGGAAAGGCAGAATAAGTAGAAAGAGCAGAAGGAGGAAAGGGTGGTGACGAAAGGTCACGCAAAAGCCAGCTTGAACAAGTAAGTTCTCAGTTTCTTTTTAAAGGAGACCACCAAGTCCACTGATCTCAGGCTCAGGGGAGAGAGGTCCAGAGTCTGGGGCTACAGCAGAAATTGTAGGAGCTGCACGAGATAAGAGGGGGCAAGATTATTAATGGCCTTATATGCAAGGACTAGGGTTGTCACGGTGTGAAAATTTAACCTCACAGTTATTGTGACCAAAACTATCACGGTTTTCGTTATTATTGCGGCATTTTTTTTAAACGTGTTACATTTTCAGACAACTAAATAAACCCTGTATATCAGGAAAATATTGTCCTCAGTTTGTGCCTGAATTTAGCCTAAAATGTGTTAGTTTGTAATTATGTTGTTTATTTGTTTACATTTTTCCCCTTTAGTCTTTACAATACCAATATTTGTCCATAACTTCTTTTTTGTCTGCTTGATGTCATTTTAAAAATATTAGACCAGATGATACTCCGTACTCAAGTAGCCTTATAATCAGATACTTTTTTTTACCCTTACTTGAGTAATAAACCCTATATCAGGAAAATATTGTTCTCGGTTTGTGTTTTTCCAGTGAGCTTTGCAGATCTGGGAAAATGTCATCAGGCAGTAATCTTTGTTAAATTAATAATTATTCTCTGAGAGAGACCAACTCTTATCTGCCCCTGGGAGCCCAGAGATTAATAATCAGTTGTAGGTTCTCCTTTTGGGGAATCGTCAACACGTTTGACTAAGAGGGTACTCGTGGTACGAGAAAACTGCTCAGGGTCAAAAATGGTTGGGAATCACTGTCGTAACTCATGGATTTTCTGTTCCTGATCACGTGACGTGACACACAGGGGTGAAGATCAGCTTTAGAGCTCAGAAGTTTACTTGGGCCTGAACAAGGCCCACCTTGTTAAAAAATGCAGCTGTCAATGGCAGTTGAATTTAAAATGACGACTTCGGTCGTTAGTGGCCATTAATGAGTTAAAGAAATACCATACTGAATCTGCACTGCTTAAGGTCCTTGATGATTTTATTGGCAAATGATTCCGGTGATGCTGTGGTTCTGGTGCTCTTGGACTTGACATCAGCCTTTGATACCATTGATCATAACATCCTAATAAACCGGCTGGAGCGGTCTGTGGGCATTACGGGCCAGGCACTTAAGTGGATAAGATCCTACTTGACTGGGAGGAGTTTTTGTGTGAGGTTGGGGGACTGTTCCTCCAATCTGGCTGAGCTGCCTTGGGGAGTTCCCCAGGGATCGATTTTGGCCCCACTATTTTTCTCCTTATATCTCCTACCCCTGGGTGAACTATTCCGTAAACATGACGTGTCATTCCATCTATATGCTGATGATTGCCAGGTCATTTTTCCAATTAAGCGTGGTGGCTTATGCACCATTCAACCTCTATTGGACTGCCTGGAGGACATCAAGTTATGGTTGACTCAGAACTTCTTGTGTTTTAACGAACACAAGACTGAAGTTATTCTGTTTACGCCACCTAAGACCCCAGGAGGTGCCCAAGGGCTTGATTTTTCCACTCTGGCACCGCATCAGAAGGCGGAAGTCACTAACTTAGGGGTAAAACTGGACGCAGAACTCAGATTTGACCAGTGTTCGGAGTAACGCCGTTTAAATATAACGGCGTTACTAACGGCGTTCTTTTTTAGGTAACAGAATAATCTAATTAATTACTTTTCCCGCCGTTGCAACGCCGTTACCGTTACTGGGGATGGGGTTGTGCGTTACTATGTGCTTGTCGAACGTTGAGCATCAGTGAGGCTTTCTGACCACCACACTTCAGCTGCAGCCAGGGAGAAAGAGGTGTCGGTAACGCACTTACAAACACGATGATTGGCCGGGCGGAGACCCTCACTGTCTCAGTCGCTGCCTGCAGCTGTAGACCCAACAAAGCGCTGATGGGATTAACGCCGTTTAAAATAACCACGTTAATAAAAAATATTTCTTTCTGTAACGAGCAAACTAATTAATTACCGTCCTCTTTTAACAAAACGATTGTTTCTGTACTGATGAGGAAATGCGTGCGTTAAGCAGCGCGGTGTGTTGAAGCTGTCATCAGCTGATCAGGAGCTAAAGAGGTAGATGTTTTCATCCAAGCGCATCACGGCCCGTGAAGAACGAGGAAGACGTGATAAATATCTACGGCTGCAGGTGTGGATCTGCAGCCGTGCCCTTCTTAGCGTGACAGCGGGACGTCCCGAAGGTCCGCTCACCTGTTCACTGCTCAGACGTCCTGATCTTCTACCTCCCTAGATCATCCAGCTGTAACCTGTTTCTGATCATGTCTTTAGTCCCGCTGTAACACTGATGCATCAGTCTCAGACGTCATGGAACTCAGGTGTTATCAGAACTACCTTTGTCTGTTTACCACCCAGCTTCAGCTCTTCTGTGGTTGGGTCTGACCCACGTTAGTAAATGTAAGTCCTCCATCAAGCTTGTGCCTCTTCTAGTGTCATTTTAAAGGATTTTATTTATTTATTTAACCGTTACTAGATTACCCGCAACAGAAATGCTACTAAAAACACACAATTATGTGAAGCTGGAAAAATTAAAATACTGTGCAAAATTACATTTATTTCTGTAATTTAACTAGACTGAGAGACCATTTAAAGGCTCGGGAACCTTTACAGGTGTTTCTATTTGCAATTTTAAATTTTAGCTGATTGGGGTCTTGTTAAATATCACACCTTTTAATAGTCTAGATAAGTGTAATGTTCCTGTTAGTAGTTCCTCCTGTTAAGTGCTTATTTATTTAAATTATTCAGGTTTATAAAAAGCATTTTGACATACATTTTATTATGTTCCAGTCATTAGTCATTAGGTTGCAGGTTCAAGTCCCGCTCAGTCTGTTGCTGTCGTTGTGTCCTTGGGCAAGACACTTAACCCACGTTGCCTGCTGGTGGTGGTCGGAGGGACCGGTGGCGCCAGTGCTCGGCAGCCTCACCTCTGTCAGTGCGCCCCAGGGCAGCTGTGGCTACATTGTAGCTCATCCCCACCAGTGTGTGAATGTGTGTGTGAATGGGTGAATGACTGTGTTGTAAAGCGCCTTGGGGGGTTCCAGGACTCTAGAAGGCGCTATATCAAATACAGGCCATTTACAGGCCATTTAGTCATTTATATTTCACTATTGTAGTAATTATTGCATGCTTTAATGAAAAAAGTAACTAAGTAGTTATTTTTCTTGGTAATTAGTTACTTTTATAATCTTGTAACTCAGTTAGTAACTGACTTACTTTTTTAACAAAGTAATCAGTAACTATAACTAATTACTTTTTTAAAGTAACGTTCCCAACACTGGATTTGACGCTCAAGTGAATGGTATTGTGAGATCTTGCTTTTTTCATCTACGCCGCATAGCGAAAATTAAGCCATTTCTGTCCCATAGTCATTTGGAAACTGTAATCCATGCCTTCGTTCCCTGCAGGCTTGATTATTGTAATTCGCTATATGCGGGGCTTAGGCAAGCTCCAATAGCACGCCTCCAGGCGGTTCAGAACTCTGCAGCTCGGTTGTTAACATCTACCAGGAGGTCTGAACATATTACACCAGTCCTACGTGCCTTGCTTGGCTCCCTGTCTTATCGCATCAGGTTTAAGGTCATCCTGTTTGTGTTTAAGGCATTAAACTCAGAGGCACCTAAATATCTTGCTGAAATCATCCACCAACATGTCCCGGTGCGTTCCCTTAGGTCAGCTGACCAGAGATTACTAACTGTGCCCAGGTACAGCCTGAAGTCTCGTGGGAGTCGTGCCTTTTCAGTACTTGGGCCAAGTCTCTGGAATGAGCTGCCAGCTGATGTAAAACAGGCTAAGTCATTAGAAACCTTTAAAGGAAGACTAAAAACACATCTGTTCTCGCTGGCGTTTGGACTTTGAAGTTGGGGGAAGTAGGGCCGGATATTGGACTGTGAACTTGCACTCAGGTTTTCGTATTGTATTTTAAACGGATTTATTATTGTATTTTAATGGTCATTTCTCTGTCCTATGGTGGTGCTTTTTATTGGTGTACAGCGCTTTGTTTGTCCATTTTGGCCATGTGAAAACGCTCTATAAATAAAGTTGATTTGATTTGGATCCACATTTCAACAGCACAGTGAGGTGGAGACTCCTGGTCTACCTTTCTACAGTTTGCTCAAATCCTAGAAAGAATATTTGAGGTCATCTTTTATTTTACTTTCACAATTTACCTAGATTTAAAAAGCTATTCAGCAACTAGCCAACTAGTGTGTGTGTGTGTGTGTGTGTGTGTGTGTGTGTGTGTGTGTGTGTGTGTGTGTGTGTGTGTGTGTGTGTGTGTGTGTACGTACAACTTACACTTTACATTCTTGTGTCCTGGTATAAAATATATTAATGGTTTAAACATCTCAACTGTTTCAAACATACAGGTGATTGTCACCAAAATTAGAACATGGGCATTTAATAAAAGCTAAGTTTAGTCTGCAACTGTGATTGTCTAAATTTTGCATATATTCATTGACTTTAGTTTATTCCATGAAACGAGTGATAAGAGTATGTGAAAAAATATAAATACATTTTGTTAAACATGTTTTGTTCCCACTGGAAAATAATGTTTCATGTGCCCTCCTGCTGCCACAGCCTTGCAGATTAAATAGCTTACCAAAACTGTCTTCAGCAGCAGATGTTTGCTCTGTCAGCGTGCTTTCATCTGGACCCTGGGACGTAAAAAAAAAGCAGGTGATGTTGGCATTTGCTCTAAAAACTTTACAGACAAGTGACTACATCTGGGGTCTCTTTTGGGCTGTGCCAGATAACACTCCCAATAATAGTGGCAGACAAATTTCCATGATTAACCCTCTGCAGTCAATCCATGTGCCGGCGCGTGATGGCGCGCTGGCCGCATTACTCCAATTATTACGCAACCAAGAAACTACTTAGCGTCTTGATTACAGCTTGTTTTGAAAAAGGGGTTTAGAACTAAATAACAGTAGTGATTTAACACGTTTATTGAAGTAAAAGTATTTTACTTCAATAAACGGGGCACAGATGAGGATCTCAGTCTCATCTTCATTCAGCTGAAGAAAGCTCCCAGCCATCCAGGTTTTAATAGTCTAAGCAGGTGTGTAACAGCTGCAGCTTAGAAATCTCATGGGGCTTAAAGGAGATGTACAGTTGGATGTCATCTGTGTAAAGATGGTAGGAGATTCTTTTGAAGGAGCTCAGGATGTGCTGAAGAGGAAGCAGATAGAGGAGGAATAGCAGAGGGCCCAGCATAGAACCTTGTGGGACACCATGAGTAAGGGAGGTGGTGGAGGACCTAAACCTGGAGACGGCCACAGAAAAGGAGCGCTCAAACAGACAAGAGAACCACTCCAGAGCAGTTTCTGATAGGCCTACCCCGTCTCTCAGCATCTCCAGTAGCAGGTGATGGTCAACAGTGTCAAAGGCTGCAGTCAGGTCCAGCAGGACCAGAACAGAACAGTCCCCTGCATCACTGTGAGTCAGAAGGTCATTAGAGACCCTAAGAAGAGCTGTTTCAGTAGAATGAGCTCTATGAAAACCTGACTGGAAGCTACCGTAGATGTTATGTTCATCAAGAGCAGCTGTGAGTGGTTTAGCCACAACCTTTTCCAAGATCTTGGGAGATGAACAGAAGTTTAGAGATGGGTTTGAAGCTGCTATGGAGAGAGGGGTGAAGACTCGGTTTTTTAAGAAGCGGGTGGATTACAGCCACTTTAGAAAACCTGTTCAATTACGATCATTGTTTTAATTCAGAACTAGTTTTTGAGCATTAGCGAATGTAGTGAAGCAGCTCTCACACGACCATTTTAGACCAATACAGTGCACGCATTTAGTTAACAGAAATCCAACACAGCGGTGTCCTCAGAGTGCAAAAACTGCGGCGATAACTTAGAAGCTTTTTAATCAGTTAACAAAAAATATTTCCTGGTGCTGCAACACGTGCAAGATAACACTTTGTTCCTGCTGCTACTCTACGAACCCATGTTGTCCGCACAAGCACTCACAGTGAGAGACTTCTGGGTGGCAGTTCATGTTAGGGCTGTCACGGTAACCGCAAAAATGAAATATCGCAATATGAAGAAACCCACCGCGCTGCATCATGGGCCACCGTGATTACTGAACTTGATTCAACTCAACGATGCATGTTGAGAAGGATGGCTGCACTGGTATCAAAACAAAACGTTACTTTGCTCCTTTGGGAGCACTTTGGTTTTCAGTACGTCAGCTGCTGCGCAGCCAGAGTCCTTGGCCAAGACAGAGCTGCAGCGGCAAAAAAATAAATAAATGAACGCTCGGAGACCTGCTGAAGTCCCGGACAAGCACTGCTTCTGCAACCGTCCCGAAGAGAGTTTGAGCCGAGCTGGAGCTCACTCGCTACCTGCAGGAGGAATGCATCCACCCTAAAGAACCCCCCCCCCCCCCACCCCACCCCCCCCCCCCCCACCCCCGACATGGTGGAGCAACAACCGGGAGAGATTCCCTTTGCTCGCCAGAGTCGCACGCAAGTACGTGTGTGTAAAGCCTGATTTAAGCTTGGTTTATGCTTGACGCATTCATTTTCCGCGCGGTGATGCGGCTCGCGGATGGAACGCGCTTCACAACTCGCAGCTTTTAGTGCAACGAGCGCACCATCCGAGAGGGTTTTCAGTGTTGCTGCAAATGTTGCCACCCCTCTCAGATCCTCTCTCAAACCGTATGTGGTTAACATGCTGGTTTTCCTTGTGGGTAACAAGGACGTGACCGAGCTATAAATCACTGTCATTCGTGTGTGTGAAAGTGAAAGTGAAATGATAGTGGCCCGCGCCCGGCACATGTAATTTTTTATGCTTGATTTTAAACAACTAAACAAAATGGGGACTTGTTTCTTATTTGTTAGATGCTGCAGCCAAATTTGCATTTAAGTTTTACCTTCTCCTGAATTTTGTTGTTTTTAAGTTCAGTCGGACTCCGACTGTCGAAGAAACAAACGTTACTGCGATCTGTGTTGTTACTGCCCTTTGATCTGCATTCAGTAAAGTGTTATAAAAGAAGGCACGGAAATTTTTAACCTTTTTGAAATGTGTAAGCATTATGTTTAGATAGTGCTGCAATAATATCGCACACCGCAATATTAAGCCACCCTGAATCACCGCAGGGGGAATTCCTCAACCGCGACAGCCCTAGTTCATGTCCTCGATGAGAAGAGTATTTTTGTAATTAATTTATTGCAATGCCTTTATTTTAGTGAGGTTATTACACATCATAGACATAAATTCTATGGTTCTAATTATTGACATTTCTCTTGGTGTTTCGGTTTTCAGCCTTAGTTTCCTCATTTTGAGTTTCAGCCAAGAATTTTTATACGTGCATCCTTAGTCCTGTATTTACATAGGACCTTTTAAAGTCACAGAACATACCAAGGCTCTTTACAACAACAGCCATTCACCCATGCACACGTTCATTCACATACTGTTGGGGATTAGCCAAAATGTGACCACAGCTGCCCTGGGACACACAGAGAGCAGTGTTGCCAACTCAGCAACTTTGTCACTGTTCCGAACGACTTTTTGACCCCCCCTCAACGACTTTTTTTCCAAAAAGCGCCTAGCGACAAACTTAACTTAACATTTCTCAGGACCCGTTGCTACTTTCTGTAGAACTTTCATGTAGATATTCCCCACAGATTAGCAACAAAGAAACCATTTGCACTCTGAACCGTTCTTCCGGGAGTAAGGAAAGAGAAAGATAATCTGCACATGTGCACGAGGACTGACCAATCATAAACCGTTTTCGGCCGGGCCGATTCGCTGAAGAGAAGAGTACAGCTGCAGAGCTGGAGACAGCCGATGTACGTCTGCTGCTTTCATATTGCTGCAGGCTCACGCTTCTACTAGAGACGGCGCGGGCGTCAACCTGCCATCTCTGGTTCTGCAGCCGTCAGACACTTTGGCTTTTCCTGCATTTGGCAAATACAGTCATCGGGAGTTTCAACTACCGTCCCGTTTACACACGCAGCTCTGTGGCTCATCTGAATTTCCTTCAGAGACACAGGGATGGTTATACTATGAGACACCCGCTCCCTTTTGCTCGGTGCGTCATTATCACGATGGAGAGAATACACAACAGAGAAGTTGAGAAACTATGAGGTGTAAAAAAACAGCTTTATAGGAAAATGTCTGTGAGAATGAGGAGAGCAGGAGTTCTGAGTTATATCCTAAAACAGAACGGTTTGGATCACCACACCATATCTGTCTTAATGTCACTTTGATACTTTTGGAATTTATTGCACATATCAAAGCAATTTGGGCCATTTTAATCATACTAATTAATAACTTTAACATATAACATAGTTTTATTTTCCTCCCTTTTGGTCCTATTATATATATATATATATATATATATATATTTAGATGCTATGGGGAAACCGAACGCTAATGTGGCGTGATGAAGTCATCAATATGTAAATTAGCATGTGACGTCATCTGGCGACATCTAGTGACTTTTGGGGGGAACTTCAGCTACTTTCAGTCAAAAACAGTTGGCAACACTGACAGAGAGGCAAGGCTGCCGTACGTAGGCACCACTGGTCCCTCTGACAACCACCAGCAGACAAGGAGGGTGAAGTGTGGACATGGTGACTGCGACAGGCTGAGCAGGGCGTGAACCCGTGACCCTCTGGTTACAGGGCAGGCACTTCACTCCTTTGCAACGTTGTCCAAAATAAGTCTCGTTTTGGAAACTTCTCTTAGCCACAAATAACCATAAAAACAAAGTCTTGAAGCAAAGTCTCGAACATCCCTGTCCAGCCCAGGACAGATTATTTCTATTACATTTTCCATTCAGCACTTTAGTCCATAAGGCAGCTTTTCGAGCTGGGAACAAACATCACATTGATGACAGAGATTGCCCGTTATCTCTGGTTGCTCCACTTTAATTAATTTATTTTTTATCATCACCTCTAGTGAGCCATGCTATTGATTTTCATGTTAACATTTCCACATTTTCTATGTTACAGCCACTAATGTTTGCCTTTGCCAGACCACAGTTGTAGATAAGAAATTTGTTTTAACGGTTTTAGCCTGATTGTCAAATAAAGGTTTGTAGGATAAAGGGGACGGTTGTTTTTTTGAGAAGACAAATTTTTAATTGACAAATGTCTTAAACATTTTATACAAGTGCTCATGAGAAAACGGACTAGAGAAAATGTCCTCGATTACCTTGTTTTGTGGTGGAGTTGGCGAGCGCTCATCACAGTCCTCGGTTAAGGTTTCAGCGTCTTCGGAGTCTGACAGAATAATGAAACATCGATGTAAGTATAAAGAGGCACAGCACTTTTCTAAACCTTGTTTGAGCATGATCAGAATAGTGAGTTTGATTTGGTCTGAAGAAAGGCTGAACGATCTCACTTTCTGATAAAAATTGCGATTTAGACGATATGTGATCATCAAAGCTGTGTTTTTTGCTGCACTTCTGACTGACCCGGGATCTGTTGTGTCAACTGGTTTACAGTGTTGCCCCTAATTTCAAAAGTGTGACAGCAGTAGAGGCAGGCACCAGTGGGGAGTGGGTGTTGCAGGAGCTCAGGCTGACGGAGTGGTGCAACCGAGAAATTTAACCAAGATTTTTGTTCCTTTTTGTGATGCTGCTATGGCCAATAATATTGATGGCTGTCATCTGTGGCTAAGTGTTTTGTCCCTCACTCAGCAATGTTCATTAGAGGGAGATGGAGACTGATTTGCTGGCTTCATGCTAGGACTTAACGATCTATCGTTTCTGGACCGAAATTGCAATTTCAAACAGCACAGTCATGTGACTGTCAAAGCTGCGGTTTTAGTGGTTTTGACTGATCCAGGATCAGTTGTGTAACTTTTTTTTTTTTTTTTTTTTACATCCGGGGTTTCTCCCGTGTTATGGCAGTGGCAAAAGCCAGTGCGGGGGAGGGGGTGTACCGTCCAGAGCTGAGCCCAACTCCACAGCTGACAGAGCTGCATGTTCAGGTTATTTTCCCTGTTTTATGTTCCCACACACAGCGCTGCTAGAGCTGATAATGGCACCATAGGTGAGCCCGGGACAGAGAGAGAGAACGCAGTTGAGTGGGGGAGAGAGACTCCTCCCACATCGGAGCAGGTTCAGGCTGATTTCTAAAGCTTGGTTTAAGCGTCATCAGCGCGAGTGCAGAATCGCACTTTAGTTGACTTGAAAGCTCAACTTCTCTTTTAAAAATGGTTCGAATGTTTCTGATGGCACACGCTAGTTCGAACAAGCTAAGGTGTCAGAATGTGTGCGTCTTAGGGTTGTCACGGTGTGAAAATTTAACCTCACGGTTATTGTGACCAAAATTATCACGGTTTTCGGTATTATTGCGGTATTTTTCTAAACATGTTCAATTTTCAGGAAACTAAATAAACCCTGTATATCAGGAAAATATTTTACTCAGTTTGTGTCTAAATTTTGCCTACAATTTGTTATTTTGTAATTATGTTGTTTATTTGTTTAAATATTTCCCCTTTAGTCTTTAAAAATACCAATATTTGCCCATAACTTTTTTGTCAGTTTGAGGTCATCGTTTAAAAAATATTAGATCAGATGATACTCAGTACTCAAGTAGCCTTCTAATCAGATACTTTTTTACCCTTACTTGAGTAATAAACCCTATATCAGGAAAATATTGTCCTCGGTTTGTGTCCTTCCAGTGAGATTTGCAGATTTGGGAAAACGTCATCAGGCAGTAATCATCGTTAAATTCATAATTATTCTCAGAGAGAGACCAACTCTTATCTGCCCCTGGGAGCCCCGTAATGCATAGCGTCATTTCAACATGGGGGTGTCCGCGACACGGTTTATATGCAGGTAGCGGCGCTGCGGCTGCTTTATATAGCGACTCGTTGCGTTTTCCCTCAACATAAATCCTCGGATCACGCATTTTTGCTAAAACGCTTACTTGCCTTGCCTTGACTGTTGAGTTGTGGGTGATGGTCACGCAGATGTGTCATGAGATTTGAAGCGTTGCTGCCTTTCACAGACACTTTTTCTGCATGTGATGCAAACAGGATAGCCGTCTTCTATCAGCTGTCCCTCGGCATTCTTCAGATATCCAAAAAATGCCCGTACTTCCCACTTTGTCTTCTTTGAGGGATAATAAATGTCCTGAGCGCTGCCGTCTCCTCCTTTGGCCATTATTTCAGCTTTAACTTCAAGAAAGTTTTGGTTGTAAACAACAAAGTGCGCATGTGTCGCCGGCAACTTCAGCAGATGATACGGTGGCTGGTAAGGGTCACCGCGCCTACACCGCAGCCACGGTAATTCACAGAGATAATTTTTTTTTTTTTAAAACAAGACGGTTATTATTTTTGTCAACTTTTTTACCGGGGTTTACTGCTACACTGGTTACCGTGACAACCCTAGTGCGTCTCTCACGGAACTGACTTTTTAGTGAGGAAAATTTATCAAGACGGCTTCGAAAAACGTGCAGCCAGCCTGCCTTGGTAATAAAGGGAAAACTGTGCATTTTTTTATTTAATGCATTGAAAGGTATTTCTACCTACATATTTTCTCCATGCATTTTTGGAGTAGAACATGTTTTTATAAAGCTCCTCTCAAGACAAAAATCAAGTTGCTTGACAAACAAACATACAAAAAAAAAAGATAATGGGATAAAATATTAATAGCTTTAACTGTTGTTATTGTATGGTTAAATAGTAAATATTAATGTGAATGATTTGTGGTACTAGATTGGAATCTAGACCGTTTTTTCACTTAAAGAGCAAGTCACCCCCAAATAAACATTTTTTTGCTGATAAACTAAATAAACGAGTGTCTAATGGTGCTGCAGACACGTGTCGTCAATAATTTGGCACTTCAGTGCATCTTAGTTGAAATTTAAATATTCTGCCTAAAACTGTCAGTGTTGTGCCGTTGTCAGGTAAAAACTCTGCACTGTATTTTAATTTAAATCTGCCACCGCTATTGGCTAAGAGGTATGCTATGATGTAAACCGGTACATTATGATGTCACAATGTCGTGAGTGTGTGTATTTGTTAGCAGCTCCGCCTTCTCGGTCTGCCAGGCAACGGCATTTGTTGCATTTTTCAAACATGAAGTGGGAGTGGAGTTAGACTCTGGTAGGGGGTGACTTGCTCTTTAATCTACAGGATGGCTTGGCAGGCTAATGTTGGACCTTTGTTTGCAGAAAATTGTGAATTGAACCAAAATTGCAATTTCTGCTAGAAAAATTGCAATTCAATCTTTTCCTTAAATTGTACAGTCCTACTTCATGCAACAGCAAAAAGGAATCTACCACACTATGTGGACTTAAAACTCTTTTTGAAATTTTCAGATGGCACAAACCAGTCAGAGATGCAATAATTCAAAGAAAGCGTTGTGTCAGCGTTTGGTATCAGAGCCGTGCTTTTGTATGGAAAACACAATTGGGCTGTTAGCATCCCCAACATTTAGTTTCTATCTGTGCATTATCAGAGCACTATCTTTTAATGTTTTGATGAGACAATGTCATTTTGTGTTACCGTACTTTTTGAATGTGCTGAAAAGGGCTGGGTACTAAAATTTGGTACCTCTTTGGTACAGGCTGAAAACTTTAGGTAGGAACTAGTACCAAAAAAGTTATTTTTCAGAGCTAGATATTGGTACTTTCTCAATAAAATAACTGTCTTACATGAACACTTCTGAGTTTGCAGACTAAGAACATGCTGAAAACATGTAGAAGATTAGAAGATTTGGCGACAAACAACTGATACTGCTGGTGGACACATATGCTAATTCACAAAGTAAGACAGCTTGATACCTTGTCTGATGTCTGTCAAACTGATTTCTTCAACAAGAGATGTCAATTCATCAACCTTGTTCTATAACAGCAACAAAAAGAGTAGTTACTCAGAGCTAGCCCAATTACTATGCAGCCTAGTTTAGACATTTACAACATATACTTTACCAAATCTGAGTCAATTTGTGGGTCAGCATCATCTGGCAAAGGCACAAACATGGAAAAACAAACAAAATAAAAAAAATATGGGATGTCAAAGAAAATGGTTCAATTAAAAGTTTGCAAAAAAAAGAAGCTGGCAAACCATAAAGTTTCTCATCATAAAGAGGCAAGGAGTCATCTTCAGTCAGTTTGTCCTGAAAAAGAAGATCAAAGAAACATTCTTAGTCAGAATACCAACCAGATCAGGAACCAGGAAGAACTTTTATACCTCATCAGAAGTGGAAGCAGACGAGGCTGGGACCTTGAGCTGCTGAGCTACATCTGTGATTCTGATAACAATCCCTGTTGAAAACAAATCACTGCAGTCAAAGTCAAACAGACATAAACAAGAATTTAGCGCTCTAACTTATACTATATCGTCATCGTCTTCCTCCGCTTATCCGGGTCCGGGTTGCGGGGGCAGCATCCCAACTAGGGAGCTCCAGATAGTCCTCTCCCCGGCCTTCTCCACCAGCTCCTCCGGCAGTACCCCAAGGCGTTCCCGGACCAGATTGGAGATGTAACCACTCCAACGTGTCCTGGGTCGACCCGGGGGCCTCCTGCCGGCAGGACATGCCCGAAACACCTCCCCGGGGAGGCGTCCTGACCAGATGCCCAAACCACCTCAACTGGCTCCTTTCGATCCGGAGGAGCAGCGGTTCTACTCCGAGTCCCTCCCGAGTGTGCAAGCTCCTCACCTTATCTCTAAGAATGAGCCCGGCCACCATACGGAGGAAACTCATTTCGGCCGCTTGTATCCGCGATTTTTTTCTTTCGGTCATTACCCAAAGCTCATGACCATAGGTGAGGATTGGGACGTAGATCGACCGGTAAATCGAGAGCCTGGCTTAGCTCCCTCTTCACCATGACAGATCGGCTCAGCGTCCGCATCACTTCAGACGCTGAACCAATCCGCCTGTCGATCTCCCAATCCCTCCTACCCTCACTCGTGAACAACACCCCGAGATACTTAAACTCCTCCACTTGAGGTAGGACCTCTTCCCTGACCCGGAGTTGGCAAGCCACCCTTCTCCGGTCGAGAACCATGGTCTCAGATTTGGAGGTGCTGATCCTCATCCCAGCCGCTTCACACTCGGCAGCGAACCTACCCAGCAAGAGCTGAAGGTCAGAGCTGGATGAAGCTAGAAAGACCACATCATCCGCAAAAAGCAGAGACGAGATTCTCCTGCCACCAAACTCCACACACTCCACACCACGGCTGCGCCTAGAAATTCTGTCCATAAAGGTAATGAACAGAACCGGTGACAAAGGGCAGCCCTGGCGGAGTCCAACCCTCACTGGGAACAGGTCCGACTTACTACCGGCTATGCGGACCAATCTCACGCTCCTCTGGTAAAGGGACTGAATGGCCCTTAACAGAAAGCCACCCACCCCACACTCCTGGAGCATCCCCCATAGGGTGCCCCTGGGGACACGGTCATAAGCCTTCTCCAAATCCACAAAACACATGTGGATTGGTTAGGCACACTCCCATGCCCCCTCCATCACCCTTGCAAGGGTACAGAGCTGGTCCACAGTTCCACGGCCAGGACGAAAACCACATTGCTCCTCCTCAATCTGAGATTCAACTATCGATCGGACCCTCCTCTCCAATACCTTGGAGTAGACCTTTCCAGGGAGGCTGAGGAGTGTGAGCCCCCTATAGTTGGAACATACCCTCAGGTCACCCTTCTTAAAAGATGGGGACCACCAACCTGCCTGCCACTCCACAGGAACTGCCCCCGAATGATCACGCAATGTTGCAGAGACGTGTCAACCATGACAGCCCTACAACATCCATAGCCTTGAGATACCCAGGACGAACCTCATCCACCCCCGGGGCTCCGCCGCTGTGTAGTTGTTTGACTACCTCAGCAACTTCTGCCCCCGAGATTGGACAGTCCATCCCCAGGTCTCCCGGCTCTGGTTCCTCCTCGGAATGCGCATAGGTGGGATTGAGGAGCACCTCAAAGTATTCCTTCCACCGTCCGACTATAGCCCCAGTTGACGTCAGCAGCTCCCAATCCCCACTGTAAACAGCATGAGCGAGTTGCTGCCTTCCTCTCCTGAGGCGCCGGACAGTTTGCCAGAACCTCTTTGGAGCCGATCGATATTCTTTCTCCATGGCTTTACCAAACTCCTCCCATGCCTGAGATTTTGCCTCGGCAACTGCCACTGCTGCACCCCGCTTGGTGTCTGCTGCCTCCGGAGACCCACAGACCAGCCACGCCCTGTAGGCCTCCTTCTTCAGCCTGACGGCTCCTCTGGTGTCCACCAGCGGGTATCGGGGTTGCCACCATGACTGGCACCGGCCACCTTGCGACCACAGCTAGCAACAGCCGCCTCAACAATGGCAGAGTGGAACAAGGCCCACTTGGAGTCAATGTCCCCCACTGCTCTCGGGACGCGGTCAAAGCTCTGCCGGAGGTGGGAGCCGAAGACCGTCTTAACAGGTTCTTCTGCCAGGCGTTCCCAGCAGACCCTCACTTCGTGTTTGGGTCTGCCAGGTCTACGCGGCATCTTCCCCTGCCATCAGATCCAACTCACCACCAGGTGGTGATCAGTTGACAGCTCCGCTCCTCTCTTCACTCGGGTGCCCAAAACATATGGCCACAGGTCAGATGATACGACTACAAAGTCTATCATCGACCTACGACCTAGGCTGCCCTGGTACCAAGTGTACCGATGGGCATCCTTATGTTCGAACATGGTGTTCGTTATGGCCAAACTGCGGCTTGCACAGAAGTCCAATAACGAAACACCACTTGAGTTCAGATCAGGCGGGCCGTTCCTCCCAATCACACCCCTCCAGCTCAAGCTGTCATTGCCCACGTGAGCATTTAAGTCCCCCAGCAGGACAATGGAGTTTCCCTGATGGAGCACTATCTAGCACTCGTCCAAGGGACTCAAAAAAGGGTGGGTACTCTGAACTGATATTTGGCCCATAAGCACAAAAAACAGTCAGGACCCATTCCCCGACCCGAAGGCGCAGGGAGGCTACCCTCTTGTCCCCCGGGGTAAACCCCAACACACAGGCAGAGAGTCTCGGGGCTAACAAAAAGCCAACCCCAGCCCTCCGCCTCTCACCCGGAGCAACTCCAGCAAAGTAGAGTGTCCAACCCCTCTCCAGGTCTCGGGTTCCAGAGCCAATGCAATGTGTCGAGGTGAGTCCGACTATATCTAGCCGGTACCGCTCAACCTCTGCCACAAGCTCCGGCTCCTTCCCCGCCAGCGAGGTGACGTTCCATGTCCCAAAAACTAGTTTTCTTGTCCGGGGATCGGACCGCCAAGGCTCCCGCCTTGGTCTGCCACCCGATCCACATTGCACCGGACCCTTAATGTTCCTCCTGCAGGTGGTGGGTCCACAGTTGGATGAGCCCATGTATCCGGTTCGGGCTGGGCCCGGCCGGGCCCCATGGGCGAAAGCCTGGCCACCAGGCGCTCGCTCACGGGCCCCAACTCCAGGCCTGGCTCCAGGGTGGGAACCCGGTAACCCTCCGGGCCGGGTACTCCGACTTCTTTTCTCCATGCCTGTCCACTTTGGTGTGTAAGCAAATGCAGTCTAACATGGCACAAAAATAATAAAAGCTGCTGCGCAACAGGAGGAATGTCCCACACCCCTCTTGCTCTGGCATGTTATAGCACCCATAGAACCCAGATCAACCAGTCTGTCTGATTCAACTACCAGGACAGGTTAAAAAAAAGGTTTAAAGTTGAAATCCCTTCTTGAAACAACTCTCTGCATTTATCCAGACTTCGGACCAGCATGAGGAATCACTGGCTTGTGATTTCTTTATTGTTGGCCACAAATAAAAATTAAGTTGTAATTTTTTTTGTATCAAATACTTATTTTCCCCACACAACATAAATCATATATATGATTATAACACAAAGTGAACATAATGTGCCTAGGGCTATTTCATGTTGTACAATTGAAACCGTTTTAGTTTTCACAAACCTGGCAGGGATTCTTCTTCATAGGCTGAGGCATCTTCGTCACTTATACACTTAATCTGAAACACATTGAAATTTTCTGACATACGGCTACAGAACAGGCGGTGTTGTTACAATATTGGTCATCTGTGCAGTAAACAAGACCAAGGGATAACGGATTACAGCTCAAGCATAACATTATTTGTGTAATATTACCTTTGCATGTGATGGAATCTTCCTATGCAGTTCCTCCTCAGTGATCTCATCTCCATCCTTGCTGTTCTGTTCTACTGAGATCTCTAAGAGAAAGATCATGGCCATGTTTATTAAAGTCATTATATACACGCACACACACACACACACACACACACACACACACACACACACATACAGTGTTTCCCCCAGAAAATGAGTTAAGCCTGGCGGCTTCGGCTGTTGGGGGCGGTTGGGGTCGCGCGCTCTGTCCCGCAGCGCTCCTCTGTGACAGCGAAGTTTGGGTGGTACACGTTCCGCTACCGTTTCTCACCAGTATCAGCTGGAGGGCTCTAGTTTTGTTGCGCCGTTCGTGTCAGCGGACACGGTAGGGTTGGGGAGGGGGGCGGGGCATGATGCTTAGCCTGGCGGGTGGGCAAGCAAAGCCTGGCGGGCCGCCAGGCTTATAAAGCGTTGGGAGGAAACTCTGCATATACATACACACACATATACACACATATACACACACACACACACACACATACACACACACACACGTGTTTAAGCAGCACATTGATTATGGAAGACAACTGAACACTCACTGTGTGCAAAATAAATTTAATAAGTGAATAAATCTCTTAATATTTATTGAAGTTCAAATATGAAACAAACTCAAAACATCCTTTCTTCAATCTAGTAGTGCTGGCAGTCGGCCACATGGGTGCCTGATTTATTTATTTAATCGCCTTTTTAAATTATTTCAGTTGATGTGGAAAAAATTAAATATATCGGCCAGCAAATATATCGGTCGGCCTCTACAATGGAGTACAACAGTTTTTTATAAAGAGAACTGGCATTAGCAGTTTATCCAAAACACTTTCTAAAAATCTGAAAACTTTTTAGTGTTACGTATTAAAAAGAAAGTACTTGCCTTGCAACTGCACAGTGACATCGACTGAGAAGGGTCTTAATTTGGCCTAATAAGAGACAATATCAACTTATTTCAACTTGCTAATCATATGGTGTCAATAAAATCTACTGTGCTCAAAGTCAAAAGAAGTGGGCATATCTGAGTGGAAAGTCACATATGATCACTTTAATATACAAACCATTGGATCTCACAGAATAAAACATTAAATGAATAAATGTAATCTATAAATGTGTTGATTAAACAACCTTACTGATGTGAGACCAAGTCAAATTGAAAAACAGAACTACATTCCTAACTTGTTTATAAATAAAGCAGGAGTCATCTTTAAACTCAGCACTGACACAAATAGGGCTGGGTACTAAAACTCTGTATCTCTTAGGTACAGCGTGAAGGCATGCAGTAGATACTAGTACAAAAAATAAAAAGGTTCTGTGCTTAAAAAAAATTAGCACTTTTCCAATAAAATGTCAATGTGCTGCTCTGTTTCCTTCACCGCAAGCACCACACTGGAGCTGCTTTACATGACCCGCAAATTAAAAGACTACATTAGGAAAACTAGCTGTTAACAAGCCACTTCCCTCTCCTTTTATGGAAGAAAATCAGAGTTGCGAGGGTGTTGGTCTGGGGTCTCCCATAGAAATATTTTAGTGAGCAGATGTAATTTCCTGCATTCTAATGCGTTTTAACTGGTTGTTTAATTATATTTATGGGATTGTTTTTAGATTAATAACTTAAGCCGTGATCACACTGTTCGATTTCCAGACGTCATAGCCAAATCCCTCGTTAGGAGCTTGATCGAGTCAAAAAACGGTGGTCATCCAGTCTCTCCAACAGCTTTTTGAGCTGTCTTACGACCAAAGACAGCCTCCGACAGTCTACAAGCATGTTTGAAAACCTATGACTCCTGTCTGCAACCGACCAATGAAAACACACCTTTGGGACGCTGCAGCAGCAAGACTTTGCCTCTCCAAGCTTCGGTTTCAAATTATAAAAAAATTAAACACAAAAACATTACATTCCTTTTTGTGTTAGTGGTAATTTCACATATTTATCCGATTAGGATGGCTCAGTAGCATTTTGCTGCAGAGGGACAGAGGATGCTGCGCTCCGTGACAGCGAGTGTGATGAGATGTCACAAAGCGGAGCTACGGCATATACTGTGAGACAGATATTAGAACAATCTGGGACAGATTGTTACTTCTCTGTAGTTTAGTTGGTTTTTTATATATGTAAATGAGAAGGATAAATGACCAGAAGACAGCTCAGCTGTTTAGCTGAAAGATGGGAAAAGGAGACCTGCAGCTGGAGTCTGACACCAAAGCGTGGATTTTAAAAATGATCCTTCCTCTTTGACGAAGATGAGCTACCTATATGAGCTGACACTAAAAATAAGTGTTAACAGCGGTGCTTTATTTTATTGTCAGCTTTCTTTTAGTTAGTTGTCTGCTTAGTGAGGTATGCTTTCGGGAGGTGCACTCATGACGCAGCGTGTCCTGTTGGAGACGGACTTCATGCAGTCCGACTCTCAGAAAACTGTTGTCATACAGTGTGCCACCTTTCATGAGTTCTTAGTGTGACATGAACAATTCTGTGCAACGGCCAAAAGTCGCACTGTGTGATTCGAGCTTAAAAACAGCTTCATGCACCCCTGCGCACCCTGGACCAGAACTGTGAGTTTTCAACAAACCCCATAGACTAACAAACCAACCAAAAACATAATTGCACAGCTTACAATTTTAGCATTTTCTTTACCGCCATGGAGGAATAAAACTGCGTTCACTGTTTGGTTTGAAGCGAGTCATCTTCTTAGTGGCTTCCTGTGTGGGGAATATATCTAATATAGCTGAAATATTCCCACACAGGAGACTTCAACTGCTTCCTAGGTGGAAGTTGTCACTGGTTCTGGTTCTGCTGCGTGCACATAGTCAGTTTCACTTTTGATTTAGTTTGTGCAGGTCTTTTTTAAATGCAAATATTAAAATCTTGTGCCTTTACCGTTTGCACAGAACATTTGTTGTGATTTAAAAAAAAAAAATGTAGTACTTTATTTTCTCTTAGAATTATTCGTAGAAGTATCGGAAAAAGTATTGTTATGGGACCCATTTCAAAAACCCAGTATCGTTAAAGTAGTATTGAAAAATATTTAACGGTACCCAGCCCTAGACACAAATTTATCCAAATACATTATCAACCAGAGGGGGAAATTTTTAAATATCTGCACCCGTTTTGAGAAATCCAAAACTGAATCCATGGTCTTTTGTGGAACAGCATTTCGTGGAACCTTGAAAAACAATAGGGATCAGAATCAGAATACTTTGATAATTCTAAAGGAAATTATTTAGAAGAGTAGTTGCTCCATGTGAATCTGTAACTCACGATTCAATTCATTTGTGATTTACGAGGTGACAATTAGATTCAGAATCAATTTTTAATTAAAATTAACAAAGTGTCAAATAGAGTGTAGACTAGAATGTGTGTTTACAGGTGCTGGTCATTAAAATTAGAATAACATGACAAAGTTGATTTACCGTAAATCCTCTAATACAGGCCTGGGCCTGTATTTGACTCAAGCTCATCAATATCCAGGCCTTTATTGGAAGGAGGGCCAGTATTAGAGGCAGGTCTCTATTTCTATTTGAGCAAAATGAACTAATGGTTCGCTGGAGTTTTTGACAATTAAAATTGCGCCCACATTTTCAAAGTTAAACACATTTCTTTTAACAACGATAGTTCCTGCTTCAGCCCTCTCCCCCCTCCCCTGCGCAGCGGCCGCAAACTCACTGATGCGCCTGCAGCCTCTCGGAGTTCCTGCCGCTCTAAACATTAAAATAATTATTTAATTTTCTGTTCCTCACTTCTGATGACCTTCAATGGTGGCTGTTTGTTGCAACAGCAGGTACAAAAACTAACTTGTTTTTATTTGACTATTTTTCTGTCCTGTCTGTTTATTATCTTCCTGCATCTCCTCTCAATCCTAAAGAAAAACTGCTACCTGGGTTCATATATATTCACCTCATGAGTTACCTTTGAACTGCAGTTCTAAAAGATCTACCGACCGCAAAAACAGCGGAGCGCTCGCTGTTTGGCAGCCGTATCAGTGATCAGTGCGTCGGAGGACAAGGTGATGCGCGCAGCGCCCCGCTCCACAGCATGCAGCGAAACGCATCAGGCGCAAATAAAAGACAGAAAACATTAAAGGAAATGAACTGACATGAACGATCGCGTGTTAAATTAGTTTTTGAGGTGGCAACACCTGATTGTTACTGTGGCCGTGCTCAGGAGGCAGATCTACCGACCGCGAAAACAGCGGAGCGCTCCCTGCTTGCCGGCCGCATCAGTGATCTGTGCGTCGGAGGACAAGGTGAAGCGCCCCGCTCCACAGCAGCGATACACATCAAGCGCAAATAAAAGACAGAAAACATTAAAGGAAATGAACCGACATGAACGATCGCGTGTCAGTACCTACGGTCTGGCACAGTGCGTTGCCCCCCCCCCGAGCGCAGGAGCTTGTCACCTGCTGACAGCAGGCTGCAGTCTGTTCCGAGGGCTGCATCTTGCCGGTCATTATCACGTGACAGCGACTAGTCGATGACAGGCATAAAAAGTCACTATAGTGAAGTTGACTAGTTCATACACCCCCTACTGCTGCTCTCCAGAGTGTTCTGCAGCATAATCAGCACGTTCTCTTTGAACTTGATAGTGTAATGACCTGGCTGGGGTTGTAAGCCAGGTGCATTCTGGGTATTGTGTTATATGTGTTTCCTATCGTTCTGCTAGTTCCCATGTGTTGATTTGCGTGTTGTGTGAGTGTTATGTAAGCCACAGGGAAGGTGATGTGTGTTCTGTGGAGCGGGTTGAATTAGCATGGTTAACTGACACCGTGACTCTGTGTGGTAGGAGCGTGATAGAGGATCGTGTCTGTAGCGTTACAAAGCGTTGAAGAAAAAGCCTAATAAAGGTCTGCGTGAACCTCTACTGCCTCCTGCTGGTTGATTTGGGGACTATAACCCTGCCACTGGGACGCTCATACTTGCTTGTTACCACATTCCACCCGGCCACAATAAGAGGCCGGCCATTATTTACCTCCACTGACTCCGACACCGGCCAAAATTGGAGACCCGGCCTTTAATTGAATACCGGCCTGTATTGGAGGATTTACGGTATTCCAGTAATTCCATTCACAAAGAGAAAATTGCCAGGAATGTAAGCTCAATTATTATTTTTATTTTTTTCCAACCAACTGGACCGGCACTCTGAAGTTGCAAATGCTGTGTTCTGGCCACAGAGGGCAGTGGGGGTCTTCGTGGCATTTCATTAACCCTGTAAAATGGCATTTTAGCACATAACGGCTCAAGAAAATTATTTTAAAAATATGAAAAAGTTGCTAATTATCCCTTTAACTCAAAACACCCACAAAAGCCTTTAAATTGTCAGTCTAGCTCTGTAGGCTACACAATCATGAGTAAGACTGCTGATTTGAGTTGTTCAAAACATCTCTATTGAAACCTTGCACAACGAGGGCAAGACAGTTGTTAAAGAAGTTGGCTTAAGAATCACAATTTGGATGTGGAACTTTACTTTTTAGGCACCTCAACCATATTTAGGGTTATCTTATACAATTCACTGAATATCTAAGTCATTATCAGCAGTTTCCATCAACATATGGTAAAACTAAAAGCAAACACTCACCATTTGTGCTGCTGAACAAGTCCCAGAGTTACCCATGGAAACGGCAACTTCATTATGTTTAATGTTATCTGCATCTTCAGGGGAAAAAACATTATTACTCACAAATTTGCATTTTCCTACATCAAATGATTTTTGTAGTTCTTGTAATGGTTTTATCTAGGGATGTACCAATACCACATTTTCCAGACAATTAGTGACAGTAACTTCCTTCTAAAACGACTAAAACAGACTCTTTTGGGATTTTCTCACTGTAAAATTCTCACTACATTCTTACATGCCTCACCTTTAACTCTCCTAAACTTATGCATGTTATTCTGAAGCTGTCATTCATGTAAAGAGCATCAGGTCTGATTGGTACAGATTAAGTCTTAGTTTGATAAATAAGGATCATAAGAACCACAAGGTAAATAAAATTTATAACTTACCAACAAAAGGCTCATTGTTCAAGCTGTAGGTAGAGGTATTTTCCTTGTCAGATGTTTTGCTCTCCAGCTCAGCTATGGCCTCGATAACATTCTCCTTGAGCGGACAATCTTCTTGGGCATTCTCATGAACCACTGAAGTAGTTTCATCATCAGCTTCTTCACCAGTGGCCATAATCAAGTTACAGCTTAAGGACAAAGCATCTTGGCCATCTTTGTCATCAACTGAACAAAATGTGTCATCCACTTCATCATCACATGTCAAAATATCCTTAGGAAATATCACTGTGGCAGCAAGTGTATTTTCCTTTTCAGTAAAATCTTGCTCTTCCTTTGCAGGTTTGTCAAAAGACACATTCTGAATTGAATATTCAGAGTATTGGCCATGTTTTTCATGTGTCAGTTTTAGGACTTCATTTGTCATGGATGCGTCTGTGATCTTGTCAGCACTCTGCTCCTCACTATTGCTTTGTGAAATATCTGTACTAAAAACATGTTGGAGCTCAGGATAGTTTGGTGGGTCCTCTTGCGCTGAAGTGGTGAAACCAGGTTGCACTAGTGGTTCAAATGAAGCAGCGAGGTTAAATAAGTCTGGCATGTCTGTTGTTTTGGAACACGTCCACCAGGCTTTCATCACCTCATTTATTATTTGGCCTTCACAGCTCATCTGCACAAGACACTTCATTTTTCCATTACATCTTGTCACATTGGTGACAGTGAGCTGTATCGTTTGGTCTGAAGTAAGAGTAGACAATTCCTCTGCTGCGCCACTGTTCCAGGATCCACATGAAGTGTCAAAGCCTTCAAGCTCACACAGAAACACCTGTGGTGGAATCTGTACCAAGAGCAGAGGTATTTCTTTGACATCTTTGATGTTGACTTGGGACTCATTTCCATAGTCAACAAAACGTACAGACAGTTCATCTCCACATTTGTTAACTATCTCTGCACGATACCAGAGCTGATCATCAGAAAAGAGAGCAGCGCAGGGGCTTCCAGGAACAAGAACCTCTGGGTTGATAAGTTTATCTGCTGAATTGCCAATTTCTGAAATATCTGAAGATATTTTATCAAGTTCCTGTGAATCAGTAGGCTGACACCACATGGTGAGGTCATCATTAATGGTGGTGATGTATGAATTTAACTGTTTCCCTTCTGGAATCTCCTCTTGATCTGGGTAGCGTGTAAAAGAGAGGTTTGCTGGTGATTTCTCCATGTCATCTCCTTCATGCCTGACGTCAGTGATCTGAGCTAAATGCTCGTTTACTTGTTTCTTTGTGACAACTTCACTGTCTTCTTCATTAGGAACTTTACATACAATATCAACTCCACCAACTTTTAAACTGACCACCCACATTGATCCCACCTGCCTAATGAACTTGCATTGAAATACTCTTTCTCCACAGCAACCAATGTCTTCTTTGAATGCCGAAACAATGTCTGGATTGAGCAGGCTCGGCTCTCCTAAAACAGCATTACTCAGCATACAATGTGTGCTGTATACAGGCAGCTGCACAAAAGATTTGGGGAGTCTGCCCATTTTGAAAACTGGCGTCATTGATGTGTTTCCAAAATCTACAAACTCAACGAGAGCCACTGAGTCACCACAGATTTCTTTGACAACTGCTCGATACCATGACAAGTCGTCTGTAAACTCTGCTTGAATGAGATCACCAGGAAGGACACTTTTGATATTTTTGTCTTCTGCTGTTGATTCTGGATCATTGAGCTTTTCCACCAGTGAAACTACCTCTGCTTCTTCATTGACACATTGTACGTAGAAACTTAGAGGGTTGTTGCAATGTGACACATAAACATCCACTGACATACCAGGTGTGATGTTCTTTGAGGGCAAGTCTGCAAGTGTAGGGAGTTTTTCTGAATAATTTTCTGTTTGGTTTTTTGTTTCGGGGGTTTGTGAATCCGCTAGCTTGGTTTCAGGCTGTGGGTCATCTTTTCCCTGTTTTGTTTCTTTACCTTGCATGAAGCTGTTAGTTGGCATTGTAACGCATGGTTGCCTTTGATGTGGAGGTTTATATAGCTCGAACTTCTGTCTGATGCGACCATTTTTACAATGACTCAGTGATTTCTGTGCAGATTTCAGATGGACATCAGTCGACTTTTCTGCAATGTTCCTTTCCTGCACATGTTTGGAGTCTGAGAAGTTATTTTTTTGAGCTTGTTTATTATTTCCAGATGTTGTCATTTGGTTTGGAAAACTTGTTGATGTATTCTTTATTTGACTTGTTGAAACATCTTTCCAATCCTGACGGAGAACATTCTCATTTGTTTGCAGCTCAATGTGAAACTCTTTCCTAACTTTTGCATTGATTTGAGTGCTTTCTTGGTACAGTTCTACCAGCAATTTGCCATCAGGTTGTCTGGCCACAATCAGTGCTTGAAATTGGCATTCGGTTGCTTCTGTCTCAAACCATTTGTTCACCTCGCAAGGCACATTAGTAGGAAGATCAGAAAGCCCACACAAAACTGCTTGTACAGGAACAGACATGATGTCATGAGCCTCTTTTGGAACTGGGAGCAAGTCAGATGTGTGCACTTCAATAGTGTCACCATAATCCACAAAGTGAACCATAACTGCTGGATTTGTGGCTACGATTTGAGCCCTGTACCACTCCCCATCAGTGTATCTTGCAAAACACAAAGTTCCAAAGACTGCTGGAGGTTTAACCTTTTCAAGCTGCTGGCAAAGGCTGTTCACTTTCATCCTGAGGTTTTGAATCACATCATCATTCTTATCCAGCTGGCAGTAAAAGTGATTGATGTTTTTCACAAATGTCACTGTGACGTGTTCCTCTTTCCCTGTTTTGACATTGTGTGTTGAGTGGTAGTATGTGTCCAGATGGAGATTCTGCTCTGTGGCTTTCTTGGGAAGGCCTCTTGTGAGCATATTGGTAATGCACGTGCTTATACTCTCAAAAGGGGTTTCTAGATCCACAATGTTATAAACAATCATCTGTTCACTGTACATGATGGCACGAATTGTGCACTTCAAGGGTATGAAGTTGGATGCAGTTGTTTGTACAAAACGTTCGAACCTTGCCATCAATTCTTCGTTCCATCCATTTATGGCCAATGTGGTGTTGAATGGGTTTAACAGGCTGCATCGAAATGCTTGACCATGAAGGTTGAGGAAATTTGGACATATTCTCCGGAGGTCATAAAGGGACACTGTCACAGTATGCCCATAGTCAACAAACAAAACATCCACAAGAGGAGTTTCATGTTTCTGAATCACAAGGGCTCTGTACCACTTTCCATTATTAGGGTGTTGAGCAACACAAGCAGTTTCTACATTGGGCTCATATTCACTGTTGGCATAATATGCCTGTAGGTCATGCATAAGTAACTGCAAGCACTCTGCATTTTGTACCAACTGGCACCAGAAGTCATTTGGACTTTCAATGTGGGAAACAATGACATCAAAGAAACTACCAAGTGGAAACTTGTACTCCTTAAAGGGAGGAACTTTTTTCTCAATGCTGATAGGACCAGATGCAGACTGGAAAGAGATGCCATTGTTGTTATGCACACCTGGGAGTCTTTCATAAGCAACATGGGGTGGACTTTTAAAGGCAGCTTTCATGAAGCCTTCAACTGCTGGTGGTCTCTGACTTTCAACTCTTTCTGAGAGAATGTAATGACACACCTGTGCATTGACATTTTGCTTACAATGTGCTTTATCATCTGTTAGTTGGACAGAATAGCAGTCACTGTATTTTGCTTTTACATGAACATTTACTTCTTTCTCTGCAACTGCCTGAATGAAAAAATCCAAGGCATTTTGACTCCATTTTTCATTTTTTGGCATGACACCATCCAAGGAGCATTTCAGTGCCAGCTGTGGCAATGTTTTCAATTCGGGAGGGAGGATCCTGATTTTACACATGTCAACCACTTCTTTGTTCCCGTAATCAACAAAGAACACTGTGACTTGTGTTTCACCAACTTCTGTCACTGTTGCTCTGTAGAATTCCCCATTTCCTGCTTGGGCAGCACAGTAAAGGCCAGGAGTTGGATTTTTCACATGTAATTTCACTGTATCTTGGTAGATGTGGTTCATTCTTTCTGACAGTTCCTCCAGTTCCTTTTGATACTTCTTGGTTTGGATCCAAAACTCTGATGGAGTGGATATGTGTTGAACCACAGCCAAGTGTGAAGAGTTCAGAGCAAGTTCTTCAGATGGAGACTTATCTACTGTATTTTCACCTTTTTCCGTCACAGTGTGCGGAAAAGTTGAGATTCTTTCTTTTGGAGATGAAAGCCGGTGGTTGTACGTGGTGCTTTGGATAGCATAATCTCCAAGTCTTTTGTCATGCTCAAGCAAACATCTTTCCTTGGAACCAAACAAAGTGTTCATGTTTGTGTTGTCATCTCCATACAAGGTGACAAAGTAAACCCTCTCATAGATGCTTTGGTACTCAAACTTGGCAGTCAAGGTCCTGTTAAGTAGAAGGGATTTGAGGAAGTCAATCTGACTGGTGTTCCATCCCAACCCTTTGTCAATGATTCCGTGGAGAGAGCACATGTAAGTTACAACTGGCATCCTGAAGAACTCTGTGGCCAATGGTCTTACATTTTCCACTTGGACAATCTGCTTGGTTCCATAGTCAACACTGATGACTTCAACAGCTTTATTTTCTGAGAACACCTGTTGTAAGACACAACGATACCACTTGCCATCATTTCCTCTTGCCGCGCACGGAAACCCAATCATGTCAGGGTTTACTATGCAACTGGAAACTCTGCCCTCGTAGTTCTGTGTAATTTTCTCTGAGAGTTTCTTTAACTCTTGTGAAAAAACCTTCAACTGGCAAAAAATCCTTTGTGGATTTATGACTTCTTTTACAATCACAATCTCCACTGTTCCTCTCGACAACTCTGGGTACATGAATAGGTCTTCATTGCGCAGTTGACAACTTGATGTCAACAAGACCTGCTGGACATTTGAGGAAGAATCAGCTTTATTGTGGGACTTGAATGACGTGAAAACAAAATCTTGAAAGGCTACTGAAGACAACTTCTTGGCAAATCCCATTTGAAACATTTGTTTTGATATGCAAGGGATGTGAAGGAGAAATATTCTCTGTTGCTCCAGTACATCTTGCACCTGTGCTGCCACAGACTTTCCACAGAGAGATCTCAAAAATTCAAGAGCCACTGGAGACCATCCACTCTCAGAGAGAGGTAACACATTTGCCAGGACACAGTGCTCTACTTCAGGGGGTGACTGAAAATGCTCCTTCTTACCCCATGCTAGCGTGGCTGAGGTGGTGGTGTAGGTCACCCCTTTGTCAAGGAGGTACACACTATATTTTGAGCCATTTCTTGAGACAATGCGTGATCTGTACCAAGTGCCATCTATCTGAGTCAAGCACTGGTCACCAGGATTTCCTTCCAAGTCTTTAAATATAGCTCCAGGAGACTGAATGTCTTTGGTTAAGCCCTCGTAATCTGTTATGTTCCCATGGCCAACTTTTCCCCAGAACTCAACCAATACACAAAGGGGCTGCAAGTGAACCCTGGTTATATAAACCGTTACATCTGATCCTTTTGCAGGAAGACTTGTATTTGAAGACATTCTGGCACTTTCATGAATGCCACTTTCCCATGACCTCTCACCTCTCAACACTGATGTAGAAGAACTGAATTTTAACCTAGAATGTGACAAAAGCAAAGAAACATAGAAAATGAGTCAGGAACTTTAGTATTTTGATCAATAGAGCTTTTCACAGTAGCTAAAAATAGATTGTGATGCAACATCGCAATGCATTCTGGGAGGTAGCCCTAAACAAATAGGCGCACATTTTGCATGAGTGACAATGGGTCTGAGTTTCTTAGGTCGCCACAAAGTTTTAGTTCTCGTCACCTAAAGATGTTCAAATGAGACCAAAATATCAGGCTGTTATAAAAGGTTCAATAATGTGTATTAAAGTGGTGTTGTCTAGTTCCATCTTTCTCATCTGATATTTACATTACGGTTGGGTGATGGGACGAATTAATCGGCCATTGGTAATGAGCTCAGACGTCACTGTTTTTGTACAGGTGGCGATTTGCTTATTTATGTGTTTGCCTGTGATTTAGTTAATAAATAAAAATATTTTGGTGCAGCTGTGGTTGGGACAATTATTACATTAACTGATGGACCTGTAAATAAATAGTTCATAAATAAGGTAGAAATAAGTTCCTCACACTGAAAAATAACTAATCTCTATGAGACTGAGGACATGGTGCTAGTGCACTCTCCTACAGCACCTTGACATGACAAAAAACATTATGCAAAATTTTGTGATCATCAATTTATTTGCATGTATTTGTTATAAATGCCACTGTATAATTCTTGCTGTCAGTATTTGCAAGATATTGGTATTTGGGTCTGAACTGGTTAGACTTAAATGAGTTAAACCAAGGTCTATAGCCCTTGGGTCATAAACTATGAGCTATAAGTATATTGGTCTTTTTATACTAGGAATCAGGAGTTATTTTAGTGATCATCTTGTTTCTTATTTATTTTTGTCCTAATTGTTCCCTGAGCAATTTTATGACTGAATAAAAATAAAATCAACATTAATTGAAAAATTGTCAAATAATCGAGATCTCAATTTCAGTCACAATAATCGTGATTATTATTTTTGCCATAATCGAGCAGCCCTACTCTGATCTAATATTTTTTAAATGATGACATCAAACAGACAAAAAAATAAGTTATGGGCAAATAGTGGTATACTAAAGACTAACGGGGAAAAATGTAAACAAATAACATAATTACAAAATAACAAATTTTAGGCAAAATTTAGAAACAAACTGAGGACAATATTTTCCTGATATACAGGGTTTATTTAGTTGTCTGAAAATGTAACACGTAAAAAAAAAATACCGCGATAATACCGAAAACCGTGATAACTTCACACCGTGACAACCCTACCATCTGGTCATCTGAGCCTTTCCTCACCTTCTTTGCCTCTCGCTGCTGATAGCGCACGCTAAGGAGGAGGAGTTTGGAGAGCGTGTGTGAGGCACTCAGACATTGTGCACAGCTAGGGTTGTCACGGTGTGAAAATGTAACCTCACGGTTATTGTGACCAAAATTATCACGGTTTTCGGTATTATCGCTGTATTTTTTTTACGTGTTACATTTTCAAACAACTAAATAAACCCTTTATATCAGGAAAATATTGTCCTCGGTTTGTGTCTAAATTTAGCCTAAAATGTGTTATTTTGTAATTATGTTGTTTATTTCTTTACATTTTTCCCCTTTAGTCTTTAAAAATAGCAATATTTGACCATAACTTATTTTTTGTCTGTTTGATGTCATCATTTTAAAAATATTAGATCAAATGATACTCAGTACTCAAGTAGCCTTCTAATTAGATACTTTTTTTACCCTTACTTGAGTAATAAACCCTGTATCAGGAAAATATTGTCCTCGGTTTGTGTCCTTCCAGTGAGATTTGCAGATTTGGGAAAACGTCATCAGGCAGTAATCATTGTTAAATTCATAATTATTCTCAGAGAGAGACCAACTCTTATCTGCCCCTGGGAGCCCCGTAATGCATAGCGTCATTTCAACATGGGGGTGTCCGCGACACGGTTTATATGCAGGTAGCGGCGCTGCGGCTGCTTTATATAGCGACTCGTTGCATTCTCCCTCAACCCAAATCCTCGGATCACGAATTTTAGCTAAAACGCTAACGTTAGCTTGCCTTGCGTTGACTGTAGAGTTGTGGGTGATGGTCATGCAGATGTGTCATGAGATCTGAAGTGTTGCTGCCTTTCACAGACACTTTTTCTGCACGTGCTGCAAACAGGATAGCCGTCTTCTATCAACTGTCCCTCGGCATTCTTCAAATATCCAAAAGATGCCCGTACTTCTGACTTTGTCTTCTTTGAGGGATAATAAATGTCCTGAACGCTGCCGTCTCCTCCTTTGGCCATTATGTCAGCTTTAGCATCAAGAAAGTTTTGGTTGTAAACAACAAAGTGTGCCTCCGGCAACTTCAGCAGATGATACGGTGGCTGGTAAGGGTCACCGCGCCTACACCGCAGCCACGGTAATCCACCAAGATAATATATGTTTTTAAAAACAAGACGGTTATTATTATTGTCAACTTTTTTACCGGGGTTTACTGCTACAACGGTTACTGTGACAACCCTAATCTCTAAACACATTTAATTCACGAGTTTACAGCATTCTCTCTTCCATGCTCACTCACGCTTGTTTTGGTGGTTCGGATGCGCTCTCCACACACGCTCCGGATCTGCGTTAAAGTCCCGCCTCCGTTTGACAGCAACAGGCAGATTTCTCCACAGTTTCTTTTATAAGATTGAAACTCGAAACGGGAAACTGTCAATAATGTGGGACATGAGTCTCAATTTGTTGGACATGTGAAAAGTAATGAATATGCGGGACTGTCCCGCACAAAGCGAGACATCTGGTCACCCTAACTGAATTGTATCAGATGTATAAATATTAAATGAGTATAACTTATTGTTTTATACAGGTAAAAACGTGTAGTGGATTTAAATCTACCTACATTTTACTTTCAAGCTTTGTTTTCTTGTTTTTATTTAACTATTTTTCTGTCCTGTCTGTCTCTCATCTTTCTCCATCTCCTCTAAACTCGAGAAAAACTGCTGCCTGGATTCTTACTTTTTCAACTCAGTTACTTTTGAGCAGGTCAAAGGGATCTCCTGACCGCAAAGCGGAGTGCGCGTTTCGATGCTGCGTCAGTGAGGTGAAATCACCGCAGCACACGAATATCGGAGCACGTCAGGAACGAGTAAAAAACAGAGTAGCAGAGGATTTGAACGGATATGAACGATCATATGTTAATTCCTTGCAGTAAGAAAGTCCTGGGTTTGCTTCCCGGCCTGGGATCTTTCTGCATGGAATTTTCATGTTTTCCCTGTGCATGCGTGGGTTCTCTCCGGGTACTCTGGCTTCCTCCCACAGTCCAAAAACATGACTGTTTAGGTTAATCGGTCTGTCTAAATTGTCCTTGGGTGTGAGTGTGAATGAATGTTTGCCCCGTGTGTTGCCCTGCGATGGACTGGGTCTGTCCAGGGTGTACCCCGCCTGATTGCCCATTGACCGCTGGAGGTAGGCACCAAGCACCCCCCCCCCCCCCCCCTCGACCCTACGTGGACAAGCGGGTTCAGAAAATGGATGGATGTAGAGCTGAAACAACTAATCGATTTAATCGATTATAATCGATTATTAAAATAGTTAACAACTTTTTTAGTCATCGATTAGTTGTTTAATAATCATATTTTACCGCATAAAGTCTATTTTTTACCACAATCTGACATCGGTTACAAGCTGTTAAATTTGCCGCCAGTGTGTGGCAGTAATGAGCCACTGATCTACCAGTGGAGCCGTAGAAGAAGAAATGAGCCAATGGGTGCCCTCGGTTTTCATGACGTATCACGTTACTGACGCTCATCTTGCTGTGAGAAAATGGCGGAACAAGAGGAAATACGGAAGAAAAATAGAAGCGACAAAACTGAAGAGAAACCCCGGACAAAAACCTCACGAGTATGGGAGCACATTTGAGACGAAAGCATGTGGGGGCTGATGCAGCAGAGGAAGAGCACCGCGGTCAAGTGAGCCGTCATTTGGAAGAGCCAGCCCGGTAAGTAACAGAAAATAAACAAGGTGGACTTAGTGTTTTAGCTGAGTTCGTTATAGTGGATGTTAAACGTGTTTTTTTGCCGCGTCAGTCTGCGGTGTTCTACTTCTGATTGACTAGATGCAATCGTGAATCTCCTCCGTGTTGTGTATCATGCGCTTGCCAAATTTAGCACGTCTGTTTATAAGAATGTTCTCGTTAAGAGAAAAACGGCACAAACCCATAACTATGTTCCTCATTCAAAAAAGGACAACTCCGCGGAGAAAAATATACAGACAAGCTGTGTCCAGGTGAATATAACGCGGCATAGTTGTACACTTTCAATTTTTAAATACAGGAGAAATTCAGAAAAAGTCATTTTTTTACTATTAAAAGGCTGTTTTACTATCTAACGCTGTAAAACGCCTCACAACACATTTTTATCATGTTTCTTAAACAGTATTACACAAAATAAACATTTTTCACATTTCTCTGGCTAATTTAAACACTCCCGACTCAAAGTAAAAACCTCATGAGCTTCTTACTTAGAGCTTTTTAATAGTAAAAATGTTTTACTTTTTTTCTGAATATCTCCTGTTGCGGGCTATTTTGTAGAACGTAACCCTCAAAATAAATGATCACTGTATATTGTTAATTAATTCAAATAATATAATATTGATTTAGTGTTGTAGTGTGTGTGCTGCTTTATTTTATATGTGTACTTATTTCAGTCTATTTGTGTTTCTTATGCAGAAAAAAACAAGCAACGATGGACATGGGGAAGAAGACACTCACCCCCCAGCAATTCATACCACTTACAAACTCTATTCTAAACATGCTGGTAAAAGACATGAGGCCACTATCCATGGTGGAAGGAGCAGGCTTCCAGCTAATGCTAAAAATTATTCTGGACTGATATTTTGCACTGTTTAGCTCATTTTATACTGCTGACTGTGTTCATGTGCAATAAAATAGATTGCAGTCAACTGCACAATTCTCTTATGTTTTTTTGTTCTTAACTGAAATGCATCCATCACTTGTATAGGTTA